TTTGTCTTGGGTTGTGATTGTCGCATTTTATTTTATTTCTTCTAACATAATTGTGATAGGTCATCAAAAAGGTAGAAAAAGATGTTTAGGTCACTTCATCTTTAACAAGGGCCTGTTGGTTCCTTTTCTTTATGTCACATAAAGGTTGCAGAATGGATTTGGTCTGGTTGAGTGACTCTACATTGAATTTGAATTAAAGAGATTGATGCTCTCAAACACAATGTAATTTTAATTAAACGAGTTTAAGTTAGTTTAAGTCAGAAATTAGGTCGATTTGGATGGATTAGTCTGAGCTCAACCAAATCTTTAAATAAGTTAGAACAAAATTTTAATTTATACTAAATTTGAAATGGACTTGAGTGGAGTTTTAGGAACCAAAGCTCAACTCCGGCAAATTTAGCTTACTAACCTAATCAACTCAAAACTAACTCAGCCAGCTTGAGTCTAATCGAAGTTTAGAAAAGGATAATGATACAATTGACGACGTATTACTCACGATTCGAAACCCAACTCGTTTGTAAGGCTAACTTGGCTACACACGTAACTACAAAATTCCAACTCAACTTACCTTATAAAAAATAAATCACGTCTTAAACACGAAATGAAAGGGTACTCGGTAGAATGGGATTTTAGGATTTTGAAATGTTAAAGGTATGCATTGCAATGGTTTGAGAAGGAGAAGAGATGGCAGAGAAGAAGTAAAGAGGATAGAGAGAGTGACGAGGGAGAAAACAAAGACAAGATTGAAGATTTGAATATAGGGTTTCATAAGAAAAGTAATGTTTTGCGGCCATTTACACAGAAATAATTGACCAAGCTAATTCTAAATATCTTCAGACTTCAGTAGTTCAGAAGCATCAAATCTGGTTCATTGGTTAACAATAAATATATATTTATTTACAGGGACAAGCCTATAAAATAATGTGAGGGGGTCAACAATAATTTTTTTAAATAATTTTAAGGGAGCAATGATAATATTTTATGAATATATATTTAGAAAAAACATGTTAACAAGAGTATATTACTAAAAAAAAATCACCCACCTACATATACATACAAGTGTGTTTGGAGTGAGGGTAGAATTAAAAAAATGCACTTTTTTTTCTCTCTCTCTTCTTTTTTTTTATTTTTTTTCAGTAGACACGTAAAAATTGAAAATATCCTACACTTATGCATTTTCATTACTAAATTACATAGAATAGTAATGTCAACACAACCATAATTCAGGAGAAACAAAAAAAAAAAAAAAAAAAACGCAACCATAATTAGTTATGTTGAATATCGAATGACAATACAGAACCATTGACAAGACAAGTTCAAATCCAATTCTGCCATCAATTATATTTGGATTCTCATGTAAAATGTCGGCAATTGGTCTGATGAGTAGGCTTCAATGTGATACTTATCCAAAAAATTGTACGAGGAGGGATAATATGGGAATTTTATTTTTCATACATAGTATATAAGTCCAAAATTTCATAGAAAAATCACTCCTATACTAGGTTCACGCAAGCTTATCCTTCTCCAGCAGTAATGTTTTTAAATATTGATCCCCTCTCAAAATTATGTTAATTAATTTAAAGAATTGGGCCAGGAAAGTTAAAAGTTAGACTAAGAAATGCAAATAATTAAAATTTAGTATTTTAAAATTTATTGAAGGTACTAACTCATTAAATTATCGAGACATCTATAACCAATGTGACGTTCGCAGACATATTTACATTCATTTCACTAACAAGAAAGTGAAAACGAAATACTAAAATTATTAACCGATCAAATAAATGAACCAACAAAAAACAAATTATTTAGAGGCATTGAATAAAGAAGCTAAAACACTTTCCTCTCCTATAATCCTATTCCTTGATATTAATTCTCAAGTGAAATTAAAAGTACATGGAGAATGAAGAATTTCCCGCTTTTTATTTTTCTTCTTTCCTTTCTCCTTTCCCTCTTTTTCAAATGACGGTGTTCCTCCCTTCCTTTCCATTCTTTCATAATAATATTATGTTTAATAATATTGCTGTATCTCACAAACTCACAATTTTAACAGAATCACAATATGTGAGACATCAAAACTTTTAAAGATTTCATAACACTTAAAATTATAGACATATTATAATTTTTCTCTCTTAGGGCAGAATCAAAAGCTAGGAGGAGGAGGAGGAGATGGGAAGATATACATGTGTGTGTCTATATATATATATATACACACTAGTAAAAAGTAAGGAAAAGGAAACGAAAAATGAGAAGGTGTAGGGTCGAGTCTACACTATGATACTACTAAATTTGTAGCCGCCTCTGTAGCGTGGCAGCAGTTCTGATACTTCAAAGGACAAAGTATAGTGGTTTGTTGCAATATTCTTACATAAAAGTCCAAAACACGTGCTGTAGAGACAACTTTTGGTGAATTGTGACCGTCCAATTAAAGTCATGATGGACTCATAATACTTCTCCTGTGTCTCGATTTAGACGCCGCTTTGGAAGAATATGAATTTTGAAGGGAACGTATAGAATATGCTCTTGTCTTTTTAAAAAATTATTAACTTACTTTTATATTTAAATTTTAAATTTTAAATTCCAAAAGTATATATGAAAAAATATAAAATATATTATTTGTAAAAAGAAGTGAACAATTATTTTAAGACAGACTAAAAAAACACGACATTTTTTTTAAAACAGATGAGTAATATCTAAGCAAAATTAAAAATTACGACTATCTTAACTGAACTAACCTTAAAAAAAAAAAAAACATTGGGAAAAAATATATGATAAGGGTTGATTGCATTTCTTTGGAGGAGAACAAAAAAAGAAATTGAAAAAAGAAGAGTAAGAAGGGAAAAAGAAGATGAAACAATTTGAGAATTTTTTTGAAAAAACTAATTTTAGGGGAGCATTCTTTGTAATTTTATAAACTATATGCAGAAAATGTCAATATATATATATATATATATATATTTGTATAAGAGTGAAATCAATGCTATTAGGAGAGGATCAATATATATTTTTTTGAAAAAAACTAATTTTAGGGGAGCATTCTTTGTAATTTTATAAACTATATGCAGAAAATGTCAATATATATATATATATATATATATATAAGAGTGAAATCAATGCTACTACGAGAGGACTCCTCTCGTAGTAGCATTGATTTCACTCTTATACAAATTTCATTTTCATAAAATATATAAACAAAAAAAAAAAAAAAGAGTCTTTTTTGGAAGCACGCATGAAGCATACAAATTGAAATAAGAAAAAACAACAGGTTGACTCAAAGTCATGAAGCATACAAATTGAAATAAGAAAAAAACAACAGGTTGACTCAAAGTCAAAGTCAAACTGGTTATATCAATTTTAGAAATATTAGAATCGAACATACCGTTAGAACTAGTGGGCTTGGATTGAACCGAACCCTAAACAATCAATTTAGCTCGATTCTACTGCCATATATATATATATATAATATAATATAATATAATTATTACTAATAATTCTATTATTTTTTGCATCAAATTTAGAATCAAATAGTTATGAACGAATTTTAAATATTTAGAACCGAAATTGAATAAGTTCGTCAAAGAACCGAACTAAAGTGTTCAGTTTGATTCAACCCAATTTACCTATTCCTAACCCCTTTTTGTGCACCTCAGAAAGAGTAATGTTATACATTGTTGATAAAAAAAAAATAATAATAATTAGAATTAATTTTTTTGTATAAAATATGGGAGTTAAATAGATAAAAATAATATAAATAAATAGAAATTTTTTTTAAAAAAAACCCAAAATAATAAGATGGTCCTAGATCATTCACAGGTGATGATTTAGTGCAATTAAGAAAAGTGGCAACAAAGGAATGTAAAAATATATTACAAAAAGAAACATTAACAGAAACTTTGATGGTACCAGAAGTTACCAGAAACAAATAATAGTCTACTGAAAAATTATTAAATAATTATAGACATTATTAGATGATTTTGGATCATCTATTTTTTAGTGGTTCAATAATCAAAATTATTATCCAAATATATTTTTGTAATAAATTACAATTTTCATAAATCTATTTTATTTTAATTAAAAAGAGTCTCTATTAAATTTAGCCACCAAATCATCTAATAATTTCTCCCATCATATTTAATTACTTGCCAGTGTATTAAAAAAATTTTAATAAAATAAAATAGTAGGAGTATGTAAATAGACGCAGAATTGGCAGTGACCGTTTAGTCAAAAGGTCAACAGTATATATATCTCTCTCCTTTGTCTATAATTCTATTTATAGAGCGAGAGAGAGGCCATTTCTTCCCTGTCAAAAAAAAGGAATCCCCCAACGTCTCATTCGGTTATACGCATTTCTCGTGTCTGTAATTCAAACAAACAATCTCTAACCACCTGTCTCTCTCAATATCCATCCTCTTCCCTTCTCTTTGTACGGATCATTTCAGTGCTTCTCTCAAATCGCATTCATATTTATATTTTTACTACAAACACACACACACACACACAAAACACACACACATATGATCATACATATCGTTTACATGTTGAAATCGGTGCTTCTTGATCATAGTGTTGATTAGTATATATATAATAAGTGTATGATCTAAATATATTGAAGTGGGAAGTAGATCTTCGTAGATTGTGATGATTGGTTTTTGGAGATTGTATTAGGAGAAAAAATGAAATGTGGATTGAAAAAATAGTAGAGATTTTCACTAAGATTGGGCGTTTTGGTTGTGTTTTAGGTTAAGGATAGGAAGAGATGGAACAGAAGCACTTTTTGTTGTCCGCATTGAGCGTAGGGGTTGGTGTGGGGCTTGGATTGGCCTCTGGACAGACTGTAAGCAAATGGACCGGCTACAATTCTTCGGCCGAAGGCATTACGGCCGAGCAGATAGAGCAGGAGCTTCTGCGACTACTCGTCGACGGCAAAGAAAGCAAGGCCACCTTTGAAGAGTTTCCTTATTACCTCAGGTATAGGGAGGGTTTGTTTGTTCGTTTGTTTGTTTTTTTTTTTTTTTTTTTTTTTTTTTTGGGAATTGTTATTAAATATTTCTTAAATTTAAATAAATCTGACATGTTGATAATTCCATGTTGTTAATAAGGACCTAAAGATTTTTTATTTTATTTTTATTAATGTTTTACTTGCAATTATGAGTATATACAATCGTATTTATTATTTTGTTTTGATACATAATTGGACCACCATATCTGGTGTGAGGATATCATTCTGCACATGCTTCTCTCGCCTATGGATTTGCGTGTTTGTCTAACTACTTTAATTTTTTATGAGCCAAGTTGTACTATTTTTATAACCTTATCATCTTTATATATATATATATATATATATATATTCATTTTTATAGATTTTTTTTAGTAACACTTGAACTGGTTAGTTATACCAATTTATTATCAATGAATTCGAGAAAAAGTATTTGTCATTCACGAGTTTTGTACAAATTATTACTCCGTATTTAATAGCTGGATCCAGAATTTTATGAGACCTGCAGATTCTGGTCTGGTATCAAGTTCTTCTCTCAGACAAATCTAACTCAAGGGTTTATTGGTCTTTGATTTTGTGATTATATTTTTATTTAGTTATAATTTATGTCAATCATGCTCTAAGGTTTGAAATTTGACAACACGGACTTTGTTCCATAGATTTCTATTTGCTTCTAAAAATTACATTTGTCACCTCTACCAATACACGAAGCATCATCAAAAATAGTTTTTTACTCTATTCTCTCTTTTCCAAACTTTGTGAATTTTTTTTTTTATAATTTCTTTATTTAAGAAATGCAATGTATAATTCGAACATTACATTTTGAGAGGAAAAAAAAAAAGAAAAAAGAATCAAACAGTATATACATTGATATATTTGAACAAATAAACATTGAGATTTAATGGTATATTGTGAGTCTTGCGTATCAATTGTATGAAGTAACTATTGGAATTATCATGTCTTCTTGGTCTACTTATGTACAGTACGTTACAAGTCTCTATTCTTCAATGCTTTGAGATTGAGGCAATTTCTTTCTCTGGTGCTATATGATAACCATTCTGTGTCAATGTTATGTTGATGGCAATGACAGTGAGCGGACACGGGTGTTATTGACAAGCGCTGCATATTTCCATTTAAAACACCTTGATGTTTCCAAGCACACACGGAATCTTTCGCCTGCTAGTAGGTTTATATTGCTCTCAGGGCCTGCTGGTATGCTACCTCGCCTTGCATGGAAATAATTATTAGTATGTTTTTGACACACTCTTTGTGGCCTAAACTTGCTTTCATTTTTTTTTTTTTTTTTTTTTTTTCAAGAACTTTACCAGCAAATGCTTGCGAAGGCTCTTGCACATCACTTTGAAGCGAAGTTGCTAGTATTTGATGTAACCGACTTTTGTCTAAAGGTGACTGATTAAATATAATGTCAGTTGTCCTTATGTTCATAGCTTGTCATATTGTCACGCTAAATTTTAGTTGTGCTTGATTTTCCTCAGATGCAGAGCAAGTATGGCAGTCCCAAAAATGTAAGTTTGTTTATTTATTTATTTGTTTTGTTTTGTTTTGTTTTTAAAATATGATATTGTTTTTTCCACGAGCACTTGCAATATCAGTTGCAGAGTGGAAGGTTAATGGATGTTTCCAAATTAAAGGTGTGGCTGCTGTGTACAGTCAATATCATTTATTTCTGCACTTCAAAAACCGTTTTCCACATTATAATTTTATTCTTTGTGAGATATAAATATACCATTAAACTTTCAGTGGACTATTTCCTGATTAGTTGTTTCATTATGCAGTCTTTCAAGAGATCTATCTCAGAGGTGACATTAGAGCGAATGTCCAGTTTGCTTGGTTCCTTCTCAATCCTTCCCTCAAGAGAGGATACCCGAGGTACAAGAGGAAGTACAGATTATTTGTTTTATACTTAAACATTAAGGTTCATGAGAGTCATGTTTATGATCTTGTAGTGGCTAATTGCATATTAGAATCTTTATGACTTGGTTTTGAGCTAAACATCGTTCTGATGCTTATATTATTGTGATTATAATTTTAAAATGCCATGTTCAGTAATCGGTGCAGGAATGATTAATTATGGTTTAGAAATGGCAATTTAGTTGGCACTTGGCAGTGCTCAACTATTTGATTTGTGGTAATTGAGTCTCCCATTCCTTTACATTGATTTTATATGGATCTCCAAATGCAAATTGAGAACCACATACTCTTCTCCATTTGGGAAACTGAAAAATGCCACTTTAGTTCAAGTTGATGCATCATTGGAAACCCTGCAATTGTCCCATATTTTTGCTAGCAACAGAGTAAATCAGATTGAAAATATGGAAAATAGTAATAAATAAATCAATAGAAGCTGTTATGTGCTATAATATTTCAGAATATGTTACTTGAAGAAGCTTCTATGTGCTTCATTTTATTTTATTTTATTTTTATAATTGTTTTTTTTTGCTAATCAAGCTGTTATGTACTTCTCACAAACTTTAAGTTGTGTATTTTATTTTCCTTTCTGCCTTGTTCTTTTTTCTTTTGATGACATTTTCCTCTTCAAATTTGTTTAATGTGGCTTCAATTATCTTACAGGCACATTTTGCAGGCAAAGCAGCAGTGTGGATATTAAATCAAGGTACAGTAGAGTAGTTGTTGCAGTTGGATCACATGACACAGGTTTAGCTATTCAGATTATTCTTAATATATAACATTATCTGTACTTTGTAGGGTTATGGAAGGTTCTAATGATCCTCCAAAGCTTCGCAGAAATGCCTCTTCTTCCAGTGATATGAGTAGCATCAGCTCTCAGTGCTCCTCCTCAAATCTAGGTTGTAATTTAGAATTTTTGTTTTGATATACTTTATGAAAAACGTGAAGAAACACTTGGCTGTGCATTTTATAATTTTTTAAACATTGATAACTTTCAATATGTTTGCAATTTATTTATTTATTTTCAAATCACATCCTTGAAGCACTACCTCAGCATTCAATTGATTATGATTAGATAAAAATAATCTGCTAATATACAAAAGTTTTTCTTCTGTGCATAATTGTTTATCTTCAAGCGACTTGTCAGTGAAAAAATGTTCAAGTATGTTTGAGACCTGCCTAAATTTGGTTTCTTCTAGAGAATGCCAGGTCGGAGGAGTAGAAAAGCCATTACTGTCCTCTCTACCCCTGCCTTCTGGGACACACATCAATGGGGTTGGACTCTTGGATATTATATTTACTGGATTCTATCTAGGATAATATCATGTGAAACTTTCTAAGCTAACTAAGCCTGATTAATATCTAATGTTACAGTTATATCTAGTGCCCTTTATGAAGTGTGTATTATCAATGACTTTAAATCCAAACGCATGGTCAAGGCACAATTTGCCACAAGTACCCTTTGGGATTTTTGTTGTTTTCTTCAACTTATTCATTTTTCATCTGAAGTTTTTCTTTCTTGTTATATTCTTTTTAACATTTTGGACAGATGGTTAACTAATAATTTAACTTACTCCAACCTCTGGCCTTGGGATTCAGCTCTTCCAACTCAATATGAGTAAAATTTTCCATAACTTTGAGATTTGCACAAGTCACACCTCTGGATTCCCTTTGACTAGTGAGTCCAAGATTTGCGTAATTCATTATTCAAATTCTTCTGTTCAATTTTATGAGAATTCATTTGATTTTTGATTTTCTTGTTTTTTGAAAATTTCATCTACTACAAGACTTGATACACTGTTGCATGCGGATAGGTCTTGAGCAGTTATTGTTAAATGGAGGGTAATTTATTTAGATTTTGTTCTTACTGATTGTTGGTACTTGTTTTTGGTTTTTAGCTCCCCTCAAGCGCATGAGCAGTTGGTGTTTTGATGAGAAACTTTTCTTACAGTCACTTTACAAGGTATTATGACCATGAATGGGTTGGTTGCTTTAAAACGTATAAAACTATTACTTATGCATAGCCATGTTTATATGATTTCTTCACTCGATTAGGTTCATTATGCAGCATTAGCTATCTGGGGATGTACTGACTGGCATGGTTTGTTATTTCACTTGCAGGTTTTGGTTTCAGTCTCTGAAAGCAGTTCCATCATTCTTTACCTCAGGGATGTTGATAGGCTTTTTCTCCAATCGCAAAGGCTATACAAATTGTTTGATAGGATGTTGAAGAAAGTATCAGGATCTGTTTTGGTACTTGGTTCCCGGATGTTGGACACTTGCGATGATTGTGCAGAAATGGACGAGAGACTTGCTGTTTTATTTCCTTACAATATTGAGATCAGACCACCTGAAGATGAGACTCGTCTTAGAAGCTGGAAAACCCAACTAGAAGAGGACATGAAGAAGATCCAGTTTCAGGATAATAAAAACCACATAGCTGAGGTACTTGCAGCAAATGATCTTGAATGTGATGATTTAGGTACGATCTGTCATGGTGACGCGATGGTTCTTAGTAACTACATAGAAGAGATTGTGGTATCAGCAATATCGTATCATTTGATGAACAACAAGGATCCAGAATACCGAAATGGAAAGCTTATTATATCATCTGAGAGGTAGATGCCAAAATTTCCTTTCTGTGGTATTGCTGCATCCTTTCTCTTCCAATATTTTTTTTTTTTGGTTTGAAAAAGTTCCATGTAATTACTTTCTATCCCTGGAACAGTTTATCCCATGGATTGGGTATCTTCCAGGAGGGAATAAGTGGTGGGAAAGGTACTCTTAAACTGGGGATGAATGCTGAATCTTCCAAGGTATGTTTTACATCTAAAACATTATACTTATTAACAATCTTAGAGTAGAGGATATGTTGTCATTATTGATATGGTTTTCATTTATCAATCATAGGACTCTGAAGGGGAAGGGATTACTGGGTCAAAGAGTGAGGCGGAGAAATCAGGTCCTTTAGCAAAGAAGGATGGTGACAATCCATCTTCATCAAGAGCTGCGGTGAGTCCTACTTCGGTTATTGCTAATTGGAAAGAGAGATAAGGATGAGGTGAAAAAATGAAACCATTGAGAGCTATCTCATTGGACATGCTGACAGTTCCAAGCATGAATCTTGATACTTATTTTGAATATTTTATGTCACAGAATTTCAATTTAATGCAATCAAAATTCATGCTGTCACAAATCTCACTATTTTCTTTAAGTTTAATAATACAGTAAATATACTCTTTTCTCAATGATAAGATATTCTTGCAAAATGATCTCATTATTGATTTATCTGTTATATAAAGTACTTAAATTTACTTTACCAAAAAATATATATGTGGTAAGTAAATTTCCTGACAATATGTGTTCGTGTTCGGATTTTCTCAATGATAAGATATTCTTGCAAAATGATCTCATTATTGATTTATCTGTTATATAAAGTACTTAAATTTACTTTACCAAAAAATATATATATGGTAAGTAAATTTCCTGACAATATGTGTTCGTGTTCGAATTTTTTAGTAATAGAGAATCTGGTATTTGAGAAATATGAAATATATTTGTTGATGGAATAACTTACAAGTAAATTACCATTGTTCCTTTACATACTTTATATTCTAGAACATATATTGTCAGGATTTTTATGTATTCTATATACCAAATAAATAGAGGACATTGCTTGGTGTAATGGAAAAAGCTCTGGCAGACAAGCATGTCACATTATTGACTCTTAAGATCACCCAATTTGTCCAAAAATAATGTCGATGGTGAAGTTTATCTCCAAGTCTTCTCCTAGAACCTATATCAGTGGATCAAACAATGGATAATGACCAAAAAATATATGTCTAATATGCACATACAAGATCATCTAAGAAATCAGCATCATTTTGCAAGTACATTATTTCTGGTTAAGAAAAATATTACATTTACTTAGGTTCATTGTTTAGTACAGTGGTTAAAGCTCAGCTGCAAGTGTGAAAATGCGGGTTCTAATATGTAGACAGCCATTTTGTGCAAATAATTCCAAATGTTAAGTCTGCAGTCAGTCCGCTCTTCATAATACCGTTGATTGAGGGGGACCACACTGGGTTAGGGCCTTTAACTTCATTACCATGGTTCTAAAATTCCTGAGTTTCATTAGTCATATCGGGAATCTACTTTTGGTATGGATTACTTCAGTTCTTTCATTCCCTTTTTATTAGTTTTGAACCTTATGTTTTCCAACAGGAAGTTCCTCCTGACAATGAATTTGAGAAACGCATAAGGCCAGAGGTGATTCCTGCGAATGAGATTGGAGTTACATTTTCAGATATTGGTGCCTTGGACGAGATTAAAGAATCACTTCAGGAGCTTGTAATGCTCCCTCTTCGAAGACCGGACCTCTTCAATGGTGGGCTTCTTAAGCCTTGCAGGGGTATATTGCTTTTTGGGCCTCCCGGTACTGGTAAAACGATGATGGCAAAGGCCATTGCTAATGAAGCTGGAGCAAGCTTCATCAATGTCTCAATGTCGACCATTACTTCAAAATGGTTTGGGGAAGATGAAAAGAATGTCCGTGCTCTGTTCACACTTGCAGCGAAGGTTTCTCCTACTATTATTTTTGTGGATGAGGTTGATAGTATGCTTGGGCAGCGGACAAGAGCTGGGGAGCATGAAGCTATGCGGAAGATTAAGAATGAGTTCATGACACATTGGGATGGGCTGTTGACAAAGCCGGGTGAGCGCATCCTTGTTCTTGCTGCGACCAACAGGCCATTTGACCTTGATGAAGCAATTATCAGGCGGTTTGAGCGCAGGTATATTTGCATATTTTTCACAATCAGCTTTATCCTTGTACTTCTGTGCTTCTTTAACTATTAAAATTGATATCTTCAGCAATAGCAGGAAACCTTAAATATTTATTTCTAACTTTGGTGTTCTGTCTGCGTCCTTTATCTGCTTCCACGTTTGCCTCAAGCTTTTAGTTTGCATGTCAAGTAAGCGCACATATTTATTTTCATCATCCATCCAAATTTTATGAATAACACTCTTCTTTACGTTTACTGAATAAAGGTATTTAAAAAAAATCTGATTACTGATGTGGTTTTTTTTACTTTTTTTGTTGAAGAGAATGCGTCGGTTCATCTTGATACTTTCAGCTTATAAAAGTTCCATGTAGTAAGTTATTAAAGAACAAAATGAAATAGTCAACTTCAAATCTAATAGTTAGTTTCAAACCATTTATTTGTCTGTTCTTATTTGCAGCTGTCATGAAATTGTAAAATCACTTATAGACACGTTGCATAGAAATATTTCCACCACATTATTTTAAACAGTGGCAATTGCTTAATGCAATGGTAAAATCTTGGTTGGCAAGCACGTTAATGTGGGTTTGATTCCTAGAGTTGTCACTTTGTGCAAAACAATGTCAAAAAGTTTGTCTATACCAGTCTAAGCTAGCCTCCCAACAAATCTGCACAGGCAGGACGAACACTGGATAGTGAATTTTCCTTAGTCTCCTAAACCAACAATCACTAGTTACCATGGTTCTGAATTTGTTAGAATCTTCTTGTAAGAAATAAGCAGACAAAATATACCATTGCAGAAATAGATCATTGATATTCAGCTTTGTGTTTTGTGGTGAACAGAATTATGGTTGGTTTACCACCTGCGGACAGTAGGGAAATGATATTGAGAACTCTTTTAGCAAAAGAAAAAGTAGGTGATCTAGATTTCAAGGAGCTTGCAACCATGACTGAAGGTTATAGTGGAAGCGATCTTAAGGTTTGTATTTCTATAAATGGAAAATTTTAATTGAATTTCCAGAACTGGCAATGGTTCTGGGCACTAACTATTTAAAAGCAGAATTTATGTGTGACAGCAGCTTATCGGCCTGTGAGGGAGCTAATACAACAAGAGAGACTGAAGGATATGGTACATGTTCTAATTATAAAAATTTCCCATTTAACATAAGTTTTCACTCAACTTGTTTTTGACCGTGTTTCTTGATGATATGTATTCTGAGTTTCTCTTTTCGAATAACTTCTCTGTACAGGAAAGAAAGCGGAAGGCTGAAGCAAAGAGCTCAGAAGATGGTTCGGATGAAAAAGAAGGTGGTAAAGAGGAGAGAGTAATTACTCTGAGGCCCTTAAACATGGAAGACATGAAGGAGGCAAAGAATCAGGTAAACTAATCTGATTCTTGTTTTGTAATGCTTGGGCAGTTCTTAGTCAAGGATAAATTCTCTATTCAGCGAATGTAGCTAACTATAACTACTATCAGTTTACCATCCAGTTCTGTTCAAAATTATCTTCAATGTTCCAGCCCTTTCTAGGAGCCTGCTTGTACAGTTGTACTCTTACTAACTTGGAACATGTGTGGGATTTTGTGAGAAGTATCATTTGATTTGAGTTATCTAAGCTGGCTCCGGTTACTCATATCCGATACAAACACTGCTCTTTGTTGTCAACCACCTTACTGGGAATGAACCTGTCATCTGATAATAGTCTGGACCTTATGACATGCCAAGATTTAGTTCTGGATTTCGAATTCTAAAATTCTGTGGTTGGTCTTTCATTTTTTACCCCCTAATATTTTCTTGAATGAAAAAGTTGTCATTCCCTTTCTCCTGTTGTCAAAATGTAACAGTAAAGGATATACATTCTGGATCCAAGTTGATTACTTGTGAAGTATGGCATAAGTTTTATTTCCTGTATGCACACAGAATTACAATTCTACGTAGATATTTATATTTAGTTTTTTTCTGTTAAATGCTGAAAAAGTATTTTATGAACTGCAGGTTGCTGCCAGTTTCGCCTCTGAGGGATCCGTAATGAGTGAACTGAAGCAGTGGAATGACTTGTATGGAGAAGGTGGTTCGAGGAAGAAAGAGCAGTTATCTTACTTTCTTTAGATTGCACGATATAGGCACTTTATACCCTAATGAACACCATTCCATGTGAAAGGCGGTGAAGGTTTGTAAATGGAAAGCCAAAATGCTTCACTCGAAACCCTATTATTCCAGGACACAAGGGTGACACACTGCAACAAAAGCTAGAGCTCCAAGTGCTTGGATCAAAAGAAATTCTGAAAAGCTTGATTTGGCCTGTAAAATATTTCTCAGATGATGATTCGTTTGGCATTTGTGTATCATGCTTGAGAGAGAGAGAGTTGTCGGTATTTATTAGGCCATTTGTGTTGATAATGTCATGTGAGTGGTGTTTGGAAATGCACATTGGTTTCAGAAACAGGGAAGAACTTGTATAGTAGTAATATATTGTACATTGGTCTTGTTTAAGGGTGATGATTCATGTTTATTTACTCTTTATCTAGTTTGCTTATATAAATTTGGAGATTATTAGTGTGTTTTATGAGACTGAAAAAACACATTTATGTTTCTCCTTTTGAATAAAGTTGCTTCAGCTGTTTAATCATGTCTACCGTGCGAAATAATTGTATGATATATTTGGGTATCCAAGGTTATTCCACGCCTTCTTATCCCGGGAAGAGCCAACCAAGATCTTCTATTTTGTCCGATTGCATGTTTGGATATAGTAAAATATTTTATATTTATTGGTGTTTGGTTATTGTAAATTATTTATAAAAAAAAAAAAAATAGTCTATCAATTTTCAAAAACTTATTTTACAAGCTACACTTAATGGATTTGAACTCAACTTCCACCTTTATCAAATACAAAAAAATAATAAAATGTATTTTACTTGAAAGAAAATATATTAAATTGAAATAAACATAGTAAAAACTAATATTGAAAGCGTGCGACAAATAAATAGAATGTTTACTTACAAATGAAAAAAAAAAAAACCAAGACATAAAATCTATAATAGAAGTGTGAAACAAACAAAAAAAACATGTTTATTTATACATGTAAAAATAGACGTAAATGCTATGAATCGGTACAGTAAACTAAAAGTGATAAAATAAATGCATGTTCATCAACGCTTTTACTTTTTTATTTTTATTTTCTCCAAAAATAAAATCATGAACTCATGTTCAATTGTTTTTTGCTATTTTCAATATTTTGAAAGCAAAAACATAGAAAGTAAATTCAATAAATTATAATTTTATTTGGGTAATGCTTGGATCTGTCTTAGGAGGATAAGTTTTGTTCTGCAATTTCACGTGGTCCTATCAAAATTTAACACCTGTCATAATATGAAATAACATTAAAAAATTGAGCAATTTGGATCAACCCGAGTACCCGATAGAATCCAATTAGAGACCCATTTTTTCTCTCTCTTTCTCTCTTCTTGGCTTCCCCTTTCAGAAACCCTAAATCTCAATCCAACTCCAACTTTCAGAACTCCAAAAATGGTGGTCAAAGCTCAAGCCACCTTTGCTCTAGGGTTCGTTCAGAGAGCAATAGATTTGGCCCAATCTTCGCCTCCCTCTTGGCAATCCGCTCTCCTCTGCAATCTCGCGATCTTCGTTGTGGGTTCTCCGCTTCTCGTATCTGGGTTGTCTCTCTCCGGCATTGGGATCGCTTTCTTGCTTGGCACTCTCACATGGCGCGCTTTTGGGCTCTCTGGGTTTCTTCTCGTCGCCACCTATTTTTGTCATTGTAAGTCATAGAATCTGATTATTTTCTTCTGTTTGCTATACATTTGTTTTGAAGTTGTTTATGGGTTTTAACTGAGAATTTCCATTAGCGATCTAGGCACTCTTTCATTATAGTGCAGGGCTCAAGTCCCTAATGGGATGCAAGATTCCAAGTGACTGTGTTGTTAATTATCAAAAAGAAAAAGGAAATTAAGTTTTTTTTCGGAAATTTGTGGATTTAAAATACATATGCGAACTGTTAACAAAAATGATTAAATTTCTGATCAGTGAATGGGGTCAATGATTTTGGATATGATTATCTATTAGGGAACGGCGGCGACAAATGTGAAAATGGCTCAAAAGGAGGCTTAAGGGATTGCTGACAAAAATAAAGGAAGAAGAGGACCAGGAAGCCAAGAAGAGAGAAAGAGAGACAAAAAATGGTTCTCTAATTGGATTCTATCCGGTATCAGGTTGATTGCTCATTTTTTTTATATTTTTTATTGTTATATTAGATTAAGACAGGTGTCAAATTTTGATAAGGTCACGTCAGATTGCATATAAATTTTGTCGATCCAAGCATTATCAATTTTATTGTTGTTTTCGTGGTAATCTTTCTCTCTCTAAAAAGGGTATCTGGGTTTGTTTACCCTTTTTCACCTCCGTCTAGAATGGGTTAAAGTCAAATGGATCAGCTTCTTTGGCACTTTCTTGAATTCAACGTTCCTATAACTTGGGCCAGTCCTCTGAGGTACTTGCACATTCATCGCGATTCTTTGGCATGCACAGAGTAGAAAAGGTAGACTCTGTAAACAGACGTTGTTGTAGACAATGTAATGATCATCAATTTTTGGTCGTCCATCACCTTCTGCTGGTTGAATAATCCCTTGTCCTAAAGTTGTGGCCTCTCTTCTTCTCCGGCAACGACGACGCCGGAATCAAGATGTAGTTTATGTGGTTGAAAAGAGAGAAATAGATGAGTTTGATAGAGGAAATCGTCAGTCCAAATCCTACATCATTCCAGCGATTCGATGAAATTGAGGCATAGTTGTCTGAAATTGGAAGAAATCGGGGTGATGAGATGATGGGTCAACTGTAGAAGGAGGAAGAGGTTTCAGTCTTCAATGGATGATCGGCGGCGTTTGGTAGCAGTTTGTGGTGGCAGAGAAAAGAAGAGAGATGAGCTGGTGTACCCTCCGGTCGCCGGTCACTAATCGCCCGATTCCAAACTTGCAGTGGTTGTGGTATGGGTCTTGGTGATAGGAGAGGATGATGGGTTAGAGGAAGAAAGAGGGGGTATAGACTGTAGAGTAATTTTGGTAGGATAAGTATCACTAAAGTGAAGATTGTGACTTTCGTTTTTCTTTATTAAAAGAGATAGAAAAAGTTAAATTACTTTATTGAAACTGATTTTTACTTTTGTTTATTTTAGAAATTAACAGTGGAAAATAAGAATTATTCCTGTAAGAAGCAAATTCAATGACACGAAAATATACAACGTATTAATAATCTAAATGGTGTATTATGCTCATTGTGAAATGTTGAATACAAAAAAAAAAAAAAAAATCCCTGTTTGATAATAAGATAATTACGATTTTTGTTATTTATTTAGTTAATTTTTAAAAAGAAAACTTGAATCGTCTGACTTGAGGGACACCGATACGAAGGACCCGCGTCGGTCTTCTTGATGAAAGAACCACCGCTTCTCTGATGTTCGCGCCTGCATCTCCCATCTCCCTCCCTTAAATACATGCTTCGCTGCAAAGAGATCCCATAAATTCTCACTCTATCTACACATATATATTCCTCTGTTTGGCCCTAATTCCCTTGATCTCTCTGTCCCAAAATGGCAGAGCCATTAGAGAGGTACCAAGAGCTAGGGTTTGGAGAGTCCCTACAACAGACGTTTCGTTACCCCATAGCCTGCAAAGAACTCAGCTTTATTCTCAGGCAAATTTACTCTAAACTCCCCAAAAATCTTCAGTCTCTCATCTTCCAAGACACCCTCACCGCCTTTCGTCTTCTTCCCCAGTAAGTCTTCATCTCCAATTTCTTATATAATTATTTACTATCATCCAAGCTATATAAATTTTTATCTTTTGCTTTATATATATATATGTATGTATGTATGTATGTATGTGTGTGTGTATGTTTTTTTTTTTGGTATGAATTTGATGCTAATTTGGTTAATTGCTATGATTTCTAATAGCATATTGTTAATGGTTGTACAAAATTGTTAGGAATTTCAGAAATAGATCTTTTCAAGTTGTGAAACTGTGGTTTTCTTTCCCTGTTAAATCCTGATAGAGTTATGTATTTTGGTCCTATTGTTAATATTAATGTATTTTAATGAAGTCTTGAGGAATTTATCTATTTGTTTAGCTTCGACTTGGGTACTCTGCATAAAAACATAGTGTTATGGTATCCACCTACTGACAAAAGATTTCGAATTTTCGAGTGACAGGAGGTAGGTAAACCCTCTATACCTGTTTTCTACTAATAAATGCTAACAGAGATGTGGAGATCGCTTAATATACGTCTTTCCTTTCCCAATTGACTCCAATGTATATTCCCAATTTCTCATTTATATATATATTAAAAGGAGTATATTCTCAATCTCATTAATTGAGGCCAGTAAATGCATTTGTAGACGATGATGATGATCCACAAAGTTAAATATAAAAGGTGAAATGGCATGTAATAGAAAAAGTTGAAGAGAGAGAATTCATGTGGTTGACCCCATTCACATGGGATTAAGGCAAGGAGTATGATGATCAGTAAATGCTGATGGGGAACGGGGTGTGATTTGCACACATGAGCTGCACAACGTTACTTTTGGAAGAGGAAAAGAGAAATAGAATTAGGAATTTTTGTAATTTAGGGCTACATTGTTAGGTTCCTTGTTATTTTGGTAATGTTCTATTTTAGGTTTATTTTAGTATTTCAATATATTAGGGCTTGCTTAATGTTTTTCCTGATTATAAAGGGTTGTTTTTTTTGTTTTTTGTTTTTTTCTTCCCTCATAAGTATATATAAAGGCTTTTTTGTAAACAATTTAGTTTTGAAAATGTTGAATGTTATTGTTGAGTTTGCGAACTCTCTTTGTGTCTCTTCTTCCTCGTTCTTGCTGTCCTTAATCCCTCAGTCCTTCTGACCTACCTCCTTCAATCTATTTTCTCACCTCCTTCGTCTGTATTCTCACCTCCTTCGTCTCGCCTCATCTCATCTTCTCATCCCTATCCCCTTCTTTCTTTCTGGTTCGTATCTAAAGTTCTAAACCCTACTTGTCCCGTGTCAAATGCATTTGTGGAAAATTAAATTTTTGAAATTGGATAATGCTTTGGAATCAACCACTTCAATCTCTAGGGTTATAGTGAATTACTAAAAATATGTTGCTTGTTGTCCTACAAGTTATTTTTTATTTTTTATTTTTCATCAATTTATTGAGTCATCTTTCTTATTACATATGGATAAAGTAACCTTACTGGATTAATGGCTGATTTTTTTTATTTGGTAAGTAATTAATGGTTGATTTAACAATAGAATGCAGACACAAACTGCCATTTCAGCGGCCAATCTCCTCCTTCAGAGTGCAGAGGCTGCATTGCCTAAGCAAAAGAGGGCTTTGGCAGTCACAGAGTTCAAGCATGCAAAGGTTGCTCAAAAGAGACGCTGTAAAGCCCAACAGAAAGAAGAAGGTGGTTCTATGTTTGAAAACACTGTTTAAATAAATGCTAGACTCAGCTCTTTTAACTGCAGTTCTCCTACGAGTTTGATCCTTGACTGATGGAGCACTTGATGTATGGACTACGGCCTTAAAAGTTAACACCTGAAAGTTGGATATGTCAGTTCCTTTGTTCTTTGGGTTAATCATCCAAGAATCTTGGTCAAACCCAATGATATGGACTTGGATTACAAAGCTTGTTTTCTTATTTTCAAATTTGTTAGAACAAATAATATGTCCAGCTATGATACCCTGCTTCTAATTGTGAATCCTACAATATCTATCTGGATTATGCACATATGCATAAGAAGCTGTCTGTAATTTATATATGTGGCAGCATGTTCTGAACTGAAATAGAAAATAGATGAGGAATATATATATTATGTTATTGGCTCTCAGATTGGTCCAGCATATTCATTTCTTGTTGGACACAATTTGTTATTTACCAGGCCGTGGAGCGAAATAGTTTTACATCATGAGTTGTAATAAATCATTCTTCCTATTATAGGCAGATAAAGCTAATAGTAGATTATATTTAGTTATACTTTGGCCATTGCAATTATCAATAAATATTTTGCATATTCTCAGGTTTGATCCAACTTCCTCGAGATGTTCTTGTGGACATCTTCAGTTTCTTAGATTTGAGATCTTTAGTATCTGCTGCATCAGTGTGCCGGTAAATTTTCTTCCTCTAATTTTTTTGTTTTGTGACATATAACTTGGATTGTGTCCCCAGCATACATAGTTTATTTCACCTAACCCATATCCGTGTTACATGGACACTTATTTTCCCCTCAACGTAGGCGTGTAACCTAAATTGGATGGTCCGATCCTCTACATGACGATGGAAAAAGGAGAGAAAAGTTAGTTTAATAGCATTCCTACTTCTGAGATAATTGGAAACCCTTTTCTAGGCCACGTGATACATCTCATTTAATTGAAATTTTAATTTTCATCAAAGAACTGTAACATCATACATGACAGTATTATGTAACATATGTTGTATGTATTTAAATACATTTAACATGTCTACGTAATCAAACCAAACTTTGGGAAACATTTCAGATCAAACCTCCATATTCTAAGATTTGGGTTACAGTAAGGTCCCGAACATTTAAACACACACCCTACTGGATACACGTACCAGAGCCCATGTAACAAAGCCCCACCTCCAGAGCATGTGGACATTCAACAAATGATACTGTATGTTCTGGTGTATGTTGCCTATAAGTTCAGAACTGCTTTGCTCTTCCACTATTCTGTATTTCATCCTTTTCTAGATTCAATAACAATCTTGAATGTTTCTTTGGAAGGTTGTGGAAATCGGCAGCAAGTGACAACTTTCTGTGGCATCAGCAATATGTTGTTTTCTTTGGTGCTTCTAATGCTTATTCGAAGGGGTCAGGGCAAAATAGTGGTGTACTAAATAATGGGCATATATCTCTAGAAGAGGGCATTCCTACTACTGCTTGTGTCAACTGGAGAGAAGCTTTTAAAAAGGCATATGAAGGTATGTAATCCTTTTCAGTTTGATAAATTCAGAAACTATCACAGTGTACGATTGTATCACTTATTTGACTATGTGAATAATTGCACCTCATCATATTCAACTCTCTCTCACACCTACCCACTCACACACATCCACACTACAGAGGTAAACATCCATGTTTTCTCCCCAACAACTTTCCTTTGCAAAAATGTTTCTCCTTGTTCTAACAACCTTATCCTTTTCTTTTTTTTTTAGGCAATTTATCGAAGAAATTTATGTCTTATAGGGGATACTGTGGGCACTGCAAAATGATTGTTTGGCTTAGTGGTATGAGATGTTCCAACAAAGACTGCACAGTAAATTCAAAAAATCAGCAAGTTACGCTTGTATCATCTGAGCAGGTAAGTTTTACAACTGTTTTTTTTTTTTTTTGGTCTAGTCTTTCAGTTGCAGGTGCTATTTATTTGAGTTGATTTTTGAGCAGTTGATTACTTGTATCATTTTTTTTTTCCCTAGTTGGTATTCACACACACATGCTTATGTCATTTCAGTTGTTGTAATGCTTTATATGTCATTAACTTTCCTTTTGGTTTTACATCTCACAATTTCTGCAAAACATTCCCCCTTCTACTCCCCAGAACCTAATTTTCCACACGCATAATCAATATAAATAAAAGGGTAAATTACCCTGACCTTCCCTGAGGTTTGATGAAGTCATATCAACCCCACTCCGTTTGGTTTGTACTGGAAATGTGCTTTTTCAATAGTCTTATGTATTGCCATTTCCTTTGCTTCTAAGGATATGTCCTGTGTGCACCTGGAATTCTTGATCCTCTGCCAATACAACACCGATTATGAGAAAGGAAAAAAAAAGAAAAAAAAAAAAATCCCCACTCCGTTAAAGGGCTGTTAGTGCTGTTAATAAAATTTTTTAAATACCAAAAATGCTCTTCAATGAAAGATATTTACTTGTTTATCCTTACTGACCATCATAAATTACAAATTTAACCCTAGATGACAAAAATATTTCAATATTTTTTATTCCATTAAACTTATAAATGGAAATTAAGTGTGTGCATATAAATATGTAATTTGTTTGTTTATTTTATTCCATAAAATATATTTAGTATACATATTACAGTATATATTTAATATACATATTACATTATTTATGTTTATTACGGTATACACACACATATATGTAAATTACATGCACCACTGAGTCACTGACACCACCACCATCCCATCTTCTTACGGTTCCTCTCTCCTCCACCACCACCTCCCTCTGCTACCATCCCTTATCTATCCTCTTTCGGTTCTCTCTCCATCACCACCAATTCATCCCCACCACCCACTCTACCGCCACCTCCTCTTTTCCCTCTCGATTGTGAAGATTGCTTCTTCTTGGAGACCATGTAAGTTATCTAACAGAACATCGACAAGCAGAGTCCTTGAAGGAAATGCAAGAAGTTTTGGGACCCAAAATCTTGTTAATTTCGTCACGATTGCAGAGCTTCTAGTCAAAGCCAGGAGGGAACTCGATGGTCTTGGAGGGATCCTCTCCACTACTCTCACTCTGTAACACCAAAATTTGTGAACCAATTTGGTTGAGTTTGGGACTTTCGCTGTTTGAGGAGGAGAGGTAATGCACGGTTGAGGAAGGGAGGAATTGGAGGGTGGATCAATGGTCTGGTGAGGGATCCAGGGTGGATCAGTGATCTTGAGAGAGGAGTTTGAAGATGAGAGAGGATTCGCGTAGTGATTGTGGTTGTGGGTTACCGTGGAGTGTATATTTATATATATTACCTTCACATGTTTATATATTACTCTAAATTATTTTTAATAATTTTTGCTTACCTCAGCATTGAGGTAATTGAATAAAAATTATTAAAAGTGAGGGTTTTTTTGTTCTTTTGTGATGGATTTTGACGGTCCTAAGGATTGGGGTGTCAGAATGACTTTTTTTAAAAAAGTTTTATTAATGGGTGATAAGTTAAAAACTCAAGGGAGGTCAGAGTGATTTACCCTAAATAAAAAGTAATATCCTTCATTGTATAATTTCCAATATTCTCCAATCTTTAGAGTTATTTAAAGAACCAACTTTGAAGCATCACTTTTGAATGTGTTCTATTTATATTTCTGTCATTTTCTTTTGGTATGGCCAGGGTATTGGGATTTGTTTTTCTTATCTGGTTTCCAGCATGTCATTATATAAACCAAACAAATAATATATGATATGCATTTGTATTTGCCAGATTGTTGGGTATATATTGGATGATACTCTATCAATGGTATCTTCTTCAGATAGTGACAGTGATTCAGATGGAGGGTCTGTTTTTAGGGTGTGGGCCCATCTAAGAATCAAGTAGTCTTCTCTCTGTAAGCAAAGTATTTCTCCTTTTTTTTAATTTTATTTATTATTATTATTATTATTATTATTATTATTATTATTATTATTATTATTTTCTGGTGGAATTGTTCACTTATATAATGTCTACATGATGGTGTCTGCCAGAGCTTAACAGAATTGAGGACAGAGTCCTGGATCTTTAGAAATGAGCTCAGTAACCTAACCTAATTTTTCCTCGTGCTTTTGGTGTTTGTTTGGGTTATCTGTGGCAACAACTATCAAGACTAGAAGACTGGAGGTAATGCCTTTTATTGAACCATTTATTTATTCAACCAGAATGTATATATATGTAAATTAATGTAGTTTCCCCATGGCTTCTTTTGTGTATATGCTGAATCTAGTAATCGAAGGTGAACTGTGTAATTCCTATTTGTCATTTAAAAGAATTCTTCATGTTCTCTAACTTCATCTTTTCCTTTATTGGGTCCTTTAATTTTTCAATCCTCAAGTTACTGAAATTATATGTTCTACATACTGTTTCCAACTGTTGCACGGGGGTGCATCTGATTGTTTAAACACAATATCGCGAGCCTTTGATTGTTGGATCAGTCTTGTGGGGGAGTTTTATCATATGGGCTTGGACTACCCTGTCTCGTGGTATGACTGAAGTTCATACTACTTTTACTGAGTTGCTCACCTGATTAATAGCATACTGGTTCTGGGAAACGATGCTACATTAAAGTCTCTAGCATTGCTTCATTGCTAAGCAGCACTGACTCTTCTACTTATGGTATTTGTCTATGTTGGTAAATTAGTTCGTCTATTCCAGATGAATAAAGAAAGTGCAACTAGTTTGAATGAAATTTTAAACAGTAAGGTGCTTCAGCTCTTAAAACTGAACAAAATAGATGCTTTTTCTAAATAAGTACGTTTGTTAAAACTTTTAAGATACCACTTAAATAATAAGTATCACTTAGAATGGCTCAAAATTTAAAGTTGGAGGAGGTTCACTTATCACTGAACACAGAATACACTCAGTTATGCAAGTTACAGTACTTTTTTCTTATTGACAAATTTGACCCAAAACATTGAGAGATCGTTTGTACACCTCTCCCCCTTTCTTTGTCAACTATCTTGTATCTTTGTGATTTCCTATTACAGTAATAAGGATACCAGTAGCTGAGTATCAAACCCATAATCAACGATTTCTAGGTGAGTGATGAAAGTTACAACTTAGTCATTTTAAGTCTAAATCGAGTTGGTTGATGAGTTTCAATTGAGTTGGGTATTTGTTTTCATTGCTTGATTGTCTTATCTTTTACAAGTTTCAATAAGATCAATTTGCAATTAATTTAGGAATTTTTTGAATGTTTACCGTTAGGAATTTTTTGAATGTTTACCTTCACCAATATGTATGCTCGAGTATGGTCTCATGTATGATCCGGATGTGGGTATTGGTGGTGGGTTTGTGCAAGAACCAAATAAAGAACAATATTCCTTGAACACGGTATATGGTTGGCAGTGTCTAGACTTTACCCTGTAGTTGATTTCATGCTAAGTAGAGTTTAAATTGTTTATTATTGTTTCTTGACAACTAATGAAATTCTTACAATGTCAAAAAGTGGATTAAATCGGTAGGACACATCATCTCTAGTTAACAAACGTTTGAGAAAGATATACAAACATTGAGGTCAATAATTTCTCATTTAATTCAATTCATTTCAAGATAGTAAAATAAAATTAAAATTGCATGTAAAATAAATCGCAAGGTTTCTGTCCAGTTTATGTCAATATAGGGTAATAAGCTAAGATTAGGCTGCTATGCACAAGCACACACTAAAAAAAACTACGTTGAAATCTTGAATTGAACCACTTACCATTCTGTTAAGCTTGCATGTTTTAAATTAATTTTGGGGGTTTATGGTGTTGTGATTCGAGAATAAGTTCTTGCAGGAAGGATTAATAATGTTTGATTTTAGGTTGTATATGGAATTAGGCTAGCATATTAAGTAATAAGTTGCTAAATGCTTTTCTTTCTCTGAAATATCAAATAGTCATTTAATTATATAATGACTTGTGTATATTATTGATGCAAGGATTACTAATGTTTGATTTTAGGTTGTATATGGAATAAGTCTAGCACAGAAGTAATAAATTGCTAAATGCTTTTTTTTTTTTTTTTTTCCTTCAGAAATATCAATAGTCATTTAGTGACTTGTGTATATTATTGATGCAGGTAAATTTTCATTCTGCGATGTTGGGTCTCCACATACACTCAAGATTGGTCGTGTTAGAACGAAGGTATCACCCTATTCATTAAGGAAGAGTTCATTAACCACTTGATGAATAGGATGATACCTTAGTCATTTAATGTGCAAAGAATATTGTAATATCATCCACAATTAGATTCGAAAAAGTTTTTACATATACATTTTTAAACAGTTGATCATGTAGATTTTCAATTTGACAGCCTTTTTCAATAGTGATGAAACTCAAGAATCTTCTGAAATTGGTAGGGAGGAAGACAATTGATCTACCTTTATGATTAAATACCAGATTAAATTGCAAATGAATCGTTTGATTCTTAAATTTGAATTTTTTACTTTCTTGTAAACATATTCGTGAAATTTGTCATTAAATTTATACCTATTCCCATATAAGTTAAATTTGGGTTTTATTTATTTCTTGATCCTTAGGGGACTTGAAATCTCTATTTTCTATTTTAGAAGGAGAGGAAGTACATCTATGTTACAACATTTGGTGTTATATTTAATATTTGTAATTCATCTATTTAATATTTGTAATGATGAATTACGACATTTATGTTAAATAGACTATTACTTTGAGTTTTACATATCAACAATTAATTAATTATTATTATTATTATTTTAACCATAAGAAGTATATTGACATTGAATGATGTCATTACAAGACAACAATGGTGAAAATGCAGACTTCAATTCTTTTTACTAACCAAGCAGTTGCTTAATATTCAAACAATATCAAACAAGATTTCATATTATAAAATTTATAAACACTTTTGATCTAAAATTTGTAATGCTCAAACGTAGAGATCATTTTTCATTCTTTTTCAACCTTAGAACAAAGGTTGGAAATTAAATTTGAGAACTCTCCTAAATAAGCCTTATTAGTTCTGTGGTCAAAAATTTACAAGGTTTTATTGAGCAAATCATTTTCCGAAAAAAAATGCAACAACAACAATCATATCAAACAGTAAAGACAGCATACACATCCTTCAATCCCTCCGTAAGTGCAGAAAGTCTGGCATAAATGATATCAAAAAATTGGAGTTCCTTTGACAATATCATATTTTCATATAAATTGTGAACCCAAAGTAGAATATAAAGCATAACAGATGAGCAATAAGTCTACCAGTCGACAAATCGTTAAGAAAACACTGCTAAAACATGTCAATCTCAACCTAATGTCACCGGATTGGTGGCTCTAAGCCACCTTCTTGTCTTTAAGTGGCCCTTTGGGAATCTTGCTTAAAACCTTGACATTAAACACTGCATACTGCTTCTTGATCTCCATCTCTGCTTTCTCAGCAAAGGAGTCAACTTGGTCCTCATATTTCTCATAAAGCACAGGCACGGTATGCAACACAACAAAGGCTGTTCATTTTCCAACAAAAAAATTCAATTAAAGCTAATGTTCAAGAATACTGAAAATATGTAAATAACATAAAAAGAGAGATTAAATTTGCACAAATTTCTTACATATGTATAACAATGTCAGGAAGTTGCAACAGCTCCCCAATATTGAGAGAAACCACAAGCCAGCAATCACCTGATAAGCATAACACCAATGTTTTCTGAGCGGAATATGATGAATCCCTAACTATCAGAAGATTTTAGGATGCATGAAGGGGTCCATTAACAAGCCAACTCAAGTTCAAAACAATCCGGTCATTAGTTATTCCCAAATATAATCTAGCTGGAAATTTGGGACCCATTTGAAATGAAACATCACGTGTTGGTTTGCAAACAAGAAATCAAATTCTGTTGTAATTTGTGCAAGGAAAAGAGGAGACAACATACGGCAAGAAATTTCTTCAAATCTCTCCCAGATGCAATTTCCCGGAGGATTGCAAAAGCTCTGTTCATTTCAACTCTCAAGGCAGAGGCTACATCCAGGACAATATCATCAGAAAGTCCAAATTCTGGAATTTTAGGTGGAGACCTAATTATGTAAAACAGCAGGAGTCAATAGGCAGGCAAAGTCACACAAAACAAGCAGAAGAGGGGAGGGGTATATGAAAAATATTAAACGACTTACTTGTTGACAAAGGTAGATGCATTCGACCACAGAAAAAGAGTGGCCAGAGCAAGTATTGAAATGTGGCATACTAGAGTCAGCAAGTGGTACTCAAGCAATTCAAAAAGAATCCAAATTCCAGTGGCAACTCCAAGCACGCCAGCAGTAACCTTCTTGTCCCTCCATAAGAGAATATCAGCAGCTGCCACAGAATATAATGTAAGATAAATGTTTATCAATAAATGCGCACACGCGCGCGCGCACATAGAGAGAGAGAGAGAGCTTTCTGAGTAATTATAAGAAAGAAATTTTCAAAAGTGAGGATTCTTTTATTTATGGAAGTACAAAAAACAAAAACAAAAAAAGAAAAAGGAAAACATATTTTTGAGATTCAGCCCTACTATAATTGAAAAGACTACTAAAACTACCTTTTGGGATACGACGTACTCACAGCACAAGCTTTCCAGAAAATAAAAAATTCCTACCCTTAACCACCACATCCGTGGAACAAAATCACCAAAGCCTCTAGCAAAACAGTAGTAGTAGTACACAACTCCCAGTAACTACTTGAGTATTTTTAAATTTCACATTTTTATAGTCCTGAAAAAAGCTTTTTCAGGGGCTGTCAAGCTACCTAATGCTACCTCCTTTTTCCAAGTTTGGGTACCAGTAGTTTAAAGAAGAGAAAATAAACACCATATGGGTAACAACTCCTAATAAACATCTATTGTTATGTTTGGGAGCACCGAATCGGTGCCTTGGATTTGGGATTGGACAGAGTTTAATTCAAATTTTGTAATAAATTTTCTCCAATCCCAAATTCAAGACGCCATTTTGGTGCCGCCAAATATAGCATTTAAGTTTTTGCTTCCACATTATGACACACTCAATCCAATTCATCAAAATATTTCCAATGGGCTCAACTGAAAATGTTTTAGTGTTAAGTCTTAAATAATGAAAAAAAGGAAAAAAAAAAAAAAAGAAAGAAATCTAAAACACAAAGTATTACTCCTTCTGTCCCAAAAAGAGTCTCTTTTGGGACACTGTGACTCACAATACGCATTGCAGAGAAACATGTGAACAATAATGAGATTATGGAGTACCTTAAAATAATTTCATAAAAAATACAAAGGTTGTCTATCGAGTAGCTCCCCTGCAGTTTATATCTTATACTGCAGGTACTAAAATGGTGCAACTGGTGGAAAATCTGAGTAAAAAAAAGAATAAATCCTAAAAGAAATTAAGACAATTCATAAGCCTTGCAAGAACATATGATATGCCTAGCTGACCTTCAATGACTGAATAAGAGTTCTTCATTAAAGATTTTATCTAACCTGAAACTCCAACCATATATTGTCAGAGCACGTAAGGTTATCAGATATTGCACAATATGGGTCAGGTAGGCTATAAATAATCTTCACAAAAGGCATTGTAGCCTATTGGTACTTCCTCACCTTCCAAAGTGAAAGGTCGAGGGTTCAAGTCCCCAAAGGACCAAAGTGAGTGTGTTGGTGGTGTGTCCAAAAAAAAAAAGAGAAGCCCGGGGGCCACGCGGGGGGTGGGGTTGTTATAGTTAATCTTCATGCTAAGTCTCGTACACATATTGTCTTCCATGTTTCATCTCAAAAAAGACAAATGGACAGCAAGTGCCAGTCCAACAGTATTTATCATCAGCTCGGGAAGGGTAGTATTGCAACTGCAACCAGAGGCTATCCTTGATCACAGAATGGTGAAACAGCAAACCATGCTGTCATTGAAATTCTTGGTGGCAAAGGGTAAGTATTGGAGATGTAACATGGAAACATTATTATAGCTTGCTGAAAAACTTTCATGATGCTTGAAGATAATCAATAATGTTGCTTGAAGGGGAAATAATGTTACCTAGATTTTTTTGCAGTGTCTTGTTTTTGCATGTGCAATAAATTTTTAGTGAGTCTATGTTGTACGAAAATGGTTCAATTTCATAAGATGTAAGTGATAGGGTCAAAGGTGGTAGTTCATTAATCTAGTTACGCGGAAGAGTTGAAAGGATCATGAATTCTGTAGGTAATGGTGGAGCTTGTGCACAACATTGTTAATAGATGGTAGAATGTTTTGGTAGATCGTTGAAGTCAGCTGTTAGAAACTAGAAAATGGTTGCCAATTGAGTCAATTTGGAATTCATGCACTCCAAGGAATGTTTTTAAGCGGTTTGAGATAGACAAAAGTGAACCTTTCCAGATATCTAAATCTGTATGCAAATTTCAACATCTTACTATGACTAAAGTGACATATCACATGCCCAATCATAATAAAGGTGATCAAAGCACAATAAAATTAAGAATTTACAGAAAAGAATCTGCCATAACCACATCCAAAATGGATGTATCCACAACCCCTTTCGACGGATGCGATTTAGCAGAAATTAATCAACCAGTTATCAACAAGATCATAACTAGATTGTAAAAAATAAATGTGGTTAAACATGTTTAATAAAGCCCTATGATCAACCAATCAATAAACAAAATCTAAACATTAGCCCTCCTAAATCCCAAAACAATTAATACAATAAACTAACATTCTATAGGAATCATGAATTGCAAAACCTAATGGAATAATTATATTCATGTGCATTGTATTTAGTAGGAAATGTAAGCCCTAAACGTGTTGTAACTTGAATGTGTGTGAGAGAAGAGAGAGAGGTTTTCAATACAGTAATTCCGTACGTTTTCCGCCGCCCAAGACCTTGTGCATAGGCGTCTCTCTGCCGAAGAGTCGATAGATCTTGGCTTTGATAGACGACACCGGTGACGACTTCTTCTCATTGTCGGAATCGGACGACGAATCGTGGCCGTGAAACGTATCCGTGATCTTCTCCATCACCGATTCAACGACTGATTCTGGCTCTCCGGCGTGATCGGCCATCGGGATCTGAGTCACCAATTTCCGATATGACACACCTCGCCGACGGTAATCGAACTTCCAGTGAGTTTTTCTTCTCCAAACAGGAAGGAATTTTGGTAATGCAATGAAATAGTAGTCCGTAGTACAAATTTAGGCACGGAGTCCGAACCTCAGTTCCGGTGCCGAGCCTGCTGGTTCGGAAATAACGGAAATCGATGTGGAGCAGGTGCGCGGAAAATGGGCAATTCTCTCTCACCGCTGCTTTGCTCAAGGCTTGACGGGACGTTAATGTTGACGTTCGCTTCCACGGCGTCAACGTACGGGTGAGCCATTGATTGACACGTGGAGTGGAAGGAGTGGTGGAGCGTTATACGGACGGTCACTCAATATTGGAGCGGAGCACCATATGTTGTGGAGTTTTTTGGTCCGAGGCCAGGGACAAATTTGTCACTTTCGGGATTTATACGTAATAAATAGAAAATCAATGTGTGAAAATATGTGCGGTTTCAAATTTATTCAAAAGTGAAAAAAAAAAAATTTATTCAAACACATGTTTTTCTTTATTGAGCAATATCGTAAAATAGGCTGATCAAATAGTACAAAATTAAAGTAATTAATAGACTTATTTACGCTAGCCATTTCATCTCATGATTGTAAATTGCTTCTTTATGTTAAGCATTTTTTTTTTTTTTTCAGTATGTGAAGTGTTTTTAAGAGTTTGAATATCATAATTTTTGAAAAAATAATGATATTTTTCTAAGTTAAATGTCACATGAAGGCCTCTGTTACAACCATTGCACAAGCCCAAATTTGTTTTTTGGAATAAAACTTCAATATTTTACTTGAAAAGTAGATGAAATGTAAATTGAGTTTAAGTTTTTATTGGTGTTTCCATTCTAATTTTTCTTTCTTAATTTCATGACTTAACATGGGATAGGATGACCAAAGTAACATTGATGAGGTTAGTAAAAATAATTTTAAAAGTTAAATATAGCCGTCAAAATGACATGTAATAAAAAAGATAGAAAAAAAAAAAAAAAAGATTCATGTAACCAACCTCATTCATACGAAATTAGAACAAAAATAGTTTTCAGTATTTAAAAAAGCAATTAGCCAACTACCACCAATCATTTAACTTCAACATGTGAGAATAAGCATGTGAGTATGTTAATTTTTTGTGTAATTTTTTTTTTTTTTTTTGCACCAACTACCACCAATCATTTAACAACATGTGAGACTAAAGCATATGAGTATGTTAATTTTTTGTGTAATTGAGTTGAGCTCTATAGCAATGAAATGTAACCCAAGACCAGAAACATTTTCCATTAGTGCATTGAGTCATGGACATCACTAAGAATATTAAATTTTTTTATTTTTTTTAATCATGATTGATGAAATAATAATGTATATGACTATTAGATTTGGTTTTGTAAATACAGATTATGAAGGAATACCACTTTATGCGGAGTAATATAGAAGAGAGTAGGGAGTAATTTATTTACATAGATTCAGATTTACTGACAGCAAAATAAATAAAGAAATGAACTATATATTACCAACGTGAGATGCACTATTTGGTGTCTCCCATTGCTCCGCATGCTCAGCAATGTGCATCCCACCTATTTCATCTCTCTCTCTCTCCCCACTCACGCACGACAATGGACCATGTAGAGTGACCACACACACAATGCACACGCACTATCATGACAAATGACAATGGACCACGTAGAGAGACCATACACAAAATGCTTCTTAAAACACGGATTATAAAATTAGATTAACACAGTTTTTCGACGTAACACCGTAAATTATATTGTTGATTTTTTTTAAAGCTCGGACAAATTACACACAAATCATATACATACACTATCATGACAGTGGATCATGTAGGGAGATCATACACAAAATGCTTCTTAAATCACCGATTATAAAATCGGATTAACACATTTTTCTAAAGTAACAAGGTAAATTATATTAATTTTTTTTAAAATTTGGACAAATTACACACGGATAAACCGTTAAGTATTTACTACTTTGACCAACCTAAGATTTGGCGCGTGTGCTCAACGACACTACTTTAAAAATGACATTTTTGCCCTTCACTTGTATAAAATGCAATATAATAAATAATTAAAATAAAAGGACATTATTGACTTTTCATACTCAAAGTCACTTTCCAGTGTCAGCGAATGGATTTAGGGGAGATAAAAGTAATAAACTTTAGACAGTCTAGTCTAAAATAAGTATAATTGAATTATTCTGAGCGGATTCGGGATTGGGGGTGGGCTAACATTCATGGGCTTAATTGGTTTGAACTTTTATTTTAGTATGGTGGCTGACTTGAATTGGGTTTGATTGGGTGGGCCATTTTTGGGGTGGGCTAATACTATTAAATTTTTTTTTTTTTTTTGAGCTAAGCTAATATTAGTATAGCGTGTGTGTGTGTATATATATATATATATATATATATATATATATTTTTTTTTTTTTTTTTTTTTTTTTGAGGTTGGCTACAGCCCACCTACGCCCACCCTTCCATCTGCCTTTTGTTCATGAATAATTTAGGTGTGACTCATCTAAAGCTCAACTCATGAGTGAATTGCCAAGTTTGAATTAGATTTCTAAACATGTTTAATAAGAAAGTTGATCCTAAATAGTATTAGACCCGATTCATATAGGCTCGTAAATATGACTAGATGTGTTTGATTTTTGTTACGAGCAAAAACTCAAATGTAGGTTCATTTTATAATTTGAATAATCATGCTCATGGTTTGATATTTGATTTTTCAAGACTTAACTCATGATCCATCACTATATTATATACTTCCTGCAAATTTTATGGAATAATTATATTTATGAGGTTGATAAGTAAACCTAGTAAGTAAACTAAATGAAGAGGTTTGTTTGTAAAATTGAACCTAAATCGAGTCCAAACATGAACATAAGATTAAGCTCAATTTGTTTTATTAAACAAGTCGAATTGAGCCCGAGCTTTTCAAAATTGTTACTAAGTCGAAAATTAATAATCATAATTTTTTTTTTCAAATTAAGACCCTAAACGATTTATCAATATTAGAGCATGAAGAAGGAAAACAAACCATGTAGAGAAACAAAGGCATCGCTTAATAAAGATGAGAACATCTCTACTTACTACAAATTACAAAATATGCACAAATCAATAAAACGACTATATATATATATATATATATATATGATTCACAGGAAAGCAGTTGAATTTAAGAAAGAAATTTTATTAGAGTTATGGTCGAAATACCGAGATTGAGGTTTGATTCGAACCATGACAACTGCTGGAGATGCCTTAGAAGGAAGACAAAAGTTGCTTAGGAACTACTTCAGAGGCTCTTCTTCAACAACTAGCTAGAGAACGCTAACTCATATCACTTCAAAAAAATATATATATAATAAATAAAAAAATTATGTCAGGGTATATCCTGCGGTTGATGCTAATTAAGAAAACAGAACAATATAGAGAATATGCTATGGGTATACTTTTCCTATTCCTGGCCTCATGGGGTCAAATCTGAATCATGACAAATTTTTTCCAAGTATTCATCATTTTTCAACAGAAAAAATGCAAATCTTATATAGCAAATACTTAAAACCAAGGCTGTAACCCAAGAATTCGGATTCTCTCTTGTGCCTTAATCCTGTCCCATTTGTAGATATATTGTGCTTTACGTTACAGTGCAACAAAATATTACATAAAAATAAGTGGTTTAGATGAAATGGCAAGGAAGAGTATCGAGCAGGTAACTTAATAATAGGATTCAAGATTTTCGCAGAGCAAATTGGATATGTAGCTTATTTGCCAAGATAAAAAGCAATTGCACATTTTAATTATAAAAAAGCAAATATATATGATTAATAAGAAAGCAAAATTAATTAATATAAATCATATGTATTTACTTTCTTATAATTAATTACCTAGATGTAAGAAAGGAGCGTTCTAATTCAAAATGATGCCAAGGAAATCAAATCTAATAACTCTGCATATGAGTCCCTCTGAGTCACTCGGCGATTGATCGGTGTAGATAGCGACAGATGGAGCATAAAGCATAATCATTCAATTTATGGAATGAGAACTTGTGAAGAATAATAAAGATGCCAACTGAAATGGAGTTGAATAAAAATGTTAAGTAAACTAACCATATCATTGACTAACAATTAAGTTTATAATTTAGTGTATAATACGGATTCGAATAATATGGTTTGATTGTTGTTTTAACTTTAAATTTTTTTATTGTTTATGTATTTTAATTACATGATTATGAATGACTGACTTAGAATTTTTAAACAATTGAAAGAACTCATTGTCGTTCATAATTATCAGCTCAATCTCTTCAAAATCTTTTACCCAAAAATCCTTCATTTTCTAATTACCATAGATTTTATATCTTTTTATATTATAATCCTTCCTTTTTCTAGTTATTGTACAAGTTATATAAGAAAATTGAAGAAAAATAATCTTCACATGGATGACATACCGTGTAAAAACACACATATATATATAGGAGATATCTCGAATCAAAAGAAAATTAAAATCTCCTATAATTTGTTAAAGTATTCTAAAAAAATATACAAATATTTTTCTAAAAACTACTCAAGTATTCTAAAAGAAATAAAAATATTATTCTAAAAACTGCTCGAGTATTTCAGAAAGACACAATATGTACAATAATTAAGGGGGAAAAAAAAAATCTTCATAAGACTTGGAGAAGACTGTGTCATTAATATCAATGGAGACCAGAAGACTGTCATTCTTTGCCAAGAGTCATTCACTAAATTAATATATATGTGAAACTCATATGCATAAATTATAAATATATATATATGTATATATAAATACATAATTAAATGCAAATATGCCTACACAATGTATATATATCTGCCTACATGGCTACATGCACATCATATATGCATACATACACACACAAATGCACATACATATACATATTTTTTAAAAAAATCAGTTGAATACATGTGTATATTTACGCTAATATAAAATGTGTGTATTCATTGAATACTTTGTAAGTATCTGTGTTGCGTAATTAAGAACTGATAAGATTATTTTTGAAGTGTCAAAAGTGTGTGAAAAAATAAAAATAGACGAACTATCTAGACAGATCTATCTAAAATTGCATGGGTTAACAGTATAGGCCCAGCATGGAAACAGACCGAAATAGGCAAATAGGCCCAACGGGCAAACAATAGAAACCCAAAAAATGTTTAAATTGTCCCATATTATCAATTGATTCTTCATTTTATTTCTCTTTTCATTGATTTTTTATTTTATTTTATTTATTTATATTTTTTTCATTGGGAAGAAATTTATGGACAGATTTTTGTCCAACTAGATCTAAACCATTATCATTCATTTTGGGAGTTAGGTGAGATACCATTAGGTTACAAGACACATGCCTCTCTTTAAGAGAATTTTGTAATAACAAAAGTACAATTTTTCCTTGTTTATAACAAATTAGTAGAGATATTTTTAAAGTTTGGAGACAACTTATTCTTTCAACATAAATATAGCAAAGATAACTTACTCATATTTATATTCTGATATTTTCTTGGCACTTTTATTTTTCCTTATTTTTCTGGTGAAAAGTAGAGTCGTGAGACCATATAGACCATCCAATTTGGTTGCAACTTTGAAAGTCAAACCTTTAACATGAAGAGATAGAGCTCTAGCTTTTTAGAGTTAGGTCAGTAAACACCATGCGTGACCCATCTGGACCTATAACTTTGCTCTTTGTAAAGAACCCAAAGTCTGATAAGCATCAGTTTTTTAAAAAAGACAGGGAAAGCAAAGTGCACCTTCAACAAAGAGCTCACTTCTCTCCACTCTTTTGAGTCTTTTCATTTTGCCTCTTTTTTCCTTTTTTTTTTTTTTTTTCTTCCATCTTTTTGGAAATTTCTTGTCAATCTCCTAAGTCCTAAAGTTTATGTGACAGAAACACCTTTGCCCAGTATAGAATCATATCCTCAATCTTCAATTTTTTTTAAAAAAAATACTACCTCCGTTCCAAAATAGATAACCACATTGGGAGGAAAGGAATATATAAATAAATAAATATTTGGTTTTCAATTCTATCTCTTGGTGAATTACTAAATAAATAAAAATCAAAATTATCAATTCACTGTAATCATTATTATTATTATCAATTTTGTTGAATATATTGTTGCCATGGATAGGTTTATCATAAATGGGTTAGGTTTACTAAACTTTCCACATATGTCAATTTACATCAATACAATATACAATTTCTCTCTCTCTCTTAGTTGTTTAACTAGAGACATATCGTTCAGAGATGCTCAACGTGTCTTAAGTGGTAATTCCACTCTTCCATGCGCTTTTACGTGCACCAGCAGTAATTCCGCACCTCAACATGTCAGATCAACTCCATCATCGCGCCATCAGTGGTCATTACGCGTTTACACGTGCCTTCAACATGGTGAATCTTTACAAATTCATCACCCATAAATTTATAGTAGTTACTACCGGGGTTGGCAACGTCAACCTATTCACGCTCCGCACCTACATCCAAGATATTCATATATCCACCCTACGTCATCGGGCACGTTGGCATTGGTGCAACTTTTACAACAATGCTATTAGTTGTGCCACGTAGGTTGCCACGTAGCAGAGGTGCCAACAATAATGCCAAGTCACTTGTCACTTCAATTGCCATGATCGGTGACGTGCCAGCTACAAACCATATAAGGTTTAGGTTTATTTGGTCTCTACACATATGGTCTACTATATAAAGCCCTTATATATTCTTATATTATTCACATTAATACAAAATACAATTTTTTTCTCTCTCTTATTTCTATCAAATTCATAGCTAATGTTTTGGAACTAAAATGTATCCCAATGTCCATATAGAATTGGAAAAAAAGGAGCATCTCCAAGAAATTATCATTTTTTTTTTTTTTTGATGACCCAGAACTCTCTTAGGTTGGGCCTTTCGAACCCACCCCCAAAGCACCAAACTGGGGGTATAACGGCCGGTCCCATAATTACAGCACTAGGTTAGTCAAAAGTGATAAGGGGACAACAAGGTTCGATCACTGGCGTCCTATGTGACAGCTCCAAGCTTTACCAATCTGTCTAACCCCCGGGGCAAGAAATTATCATTTCTTCCACTTTGTTGTACATAGGACAAAAGAAACAAAAAAAATTGTTGTTCTTACTATTATATATATTTTTTGTATATTTTTTAATTTTTATTAGATAAGTATTCACACGCACAATTTACAAATTTTTAGGCTATTTTGAAGAGGAAGAGGTTATATACTATCAGGCTAATGGACCATTGATTCTTTCCTACCAACTTATTCAGTCATTCCCTCTTTACTTCCAACTGATAATAAACGTATTAATTAAAATCCCATCTAATCTGAGTTAAAAATTTCATTTGAAAAGAATTTTGCTTTACTAAAACGCCTATGAAGTGGATATGAATAGTACATATAGAATTCGTACAGTCTTCTGTAGACCAGTGCTAAAATGAAGTGCATATGGAACCCACCAATAGTAATACGTACTCTGTAGTGTGCGGTACTTACTACTTAGCGTGTTATGGTTATAACATCTGGTGGTACGTTTATACAGTGTCTCTCATTAAAAGGCTTAACCCACATCACATGTTTAAAATGAACGAAACAAACAAACAAACAGACCATCCAAACGCTCCTCTCTCTCTCTCTCTCTCTGTGTACAAAAGCTTACATTTTCCATCTCTCGATTCTCTGCACTGCCAAACACCATCAAACGAAGGAAAATTATGTTACGTTTTCACTATCATCCCTATTTTTACATGTACAAGTCTTTTTTTCACTCTCTCTAGTCTCTATCTCTCTGTACATAGTTATATATATATATATATATATATATATAGTCTCAATAGAGTTTCCCAAGCCAGTTAAATCTCAATAGAAGCGTGTCTCTCTCTCCCTAGTCGGTTAAATCTCCGAGCCAAACCTTATTCTTCAGCTACACTGGCCCTACCAAGCATGCAAGCTTTCAGCTTACTCAATCTCTGGCGAAATGCCGGTGGTGATTCCACCGCCGTAAGCGGCGGAGGGGACTCGGACGCCGATATCTCAACCGTTCAACAAGTAAGCCATGAGTCGACCGTGGAAACCGACGATGATGAGTCTTTCTTCGATTTGGAATTCACTGCACCTTATTGTGATGACAAGGAAGAAAACAATGCTAGAGATGTCAATGATGAAGATCGAGAAACGAAGTTCGATTTCGTTGAGTCTCCAAAAGATGTCTTCTTTGGAGGCAGAATCGTGGCATTAGAACCGAGTTCGAAGCCTCAGTCTCCGATTTCATTGCTGAGATCTTCGCGAGTCTTCATGCTAGGGTTTAGGAAATCAAAATTCCAGAAAACAGAGGAAAGCTCTGTTTCCATGGCGACTCCGAAGCATAACCAGAAGAAATCGTTACAACAAGGACAGAGCAAGCGGTTCACAGTGAAATGCAAAGTCAAAGAGGTTCCGATTGTCCCGCTCTTCACCAGAGACAACAGTTTGAGAAGCAAAACCGTGAAGCAGAGCTCATCTGAATCGCCTCCTGACGATTCGTCCAAGCGGTTTTCAAAAGATGCGATACAGAAGTATCTGAAGCTGATCAAACCGCTCTATGTTAGGGTTTCCAAGAGGTACGGCGAGAAGATGAAATTTTCAGGCCAGTTATCGACCACGACCCCGTTGTCGTCTGCGTCAACGGCACCATCGTGCTCGCCGATAAAGCATCCGGAGGAGAAGCAGGGGAGTCGGCCGGCTGTCCTTCGAGTAGTGGGTAAGCAGTTAGGAAAGAGCCGATCCGCGTCGTCGGACGCCGGAATGATGCCTCCTCCCGTGAGTAGGAGAGACGATTCACTGCTGCTGCAGCATGATGGCATTCAAAGCGCCATTCTTCATTGCAAGAGATCCTTCAACTCCTCCCGAGGTATCAAAACGCCTTCCATTAATGTCTAATGTCCCATTCAATTTGAATTCAAGTTTTTTTTTTTTTTAAATTTCACTTTTTCCCCCCTTTAAATTTGGTCACAGAAGGCGATGATCCATGGACAAAATGTGTTGAGGAGGAGAAAAGATGCAGCATTTGAAGCTTCCATTACTCTAATTTTGAGATAGAACAAAAGGCGGGAAACTGATTATCTAGTAATCATCCTGCTTGGATTAACTAATACCTTATATTACGTTAGTTATATATATATATATATATATATATATATCTAGATTTTGTATTTTGGTGCTGCATAGGATTTTGGATCTCTCCCCTATTCGTTTTTCATTGTTCGTGCAATTGGTGAAGCTCACCATTTTCAATTTTACTGTTGCATTGGTAGAGCGGTCACCTAGCTTCCCGAGTTCGAGTTTCCCTTGTATCATTTCATTAAGCAATTTATTAGTAATTTAGTTGGTAAAACGTCTAGCTTCTCCATAACTCTCCGGTCCTGGTGTTTTCATGTTTGAATTTCCTCCCTTATTTAAAAAAAAAAAAAAACTATTATATTTGTTTAATTGTGAAATTTTATTATTAAAGTGGTGAAATTAAATTTTAGTGAAGTGTATCGATGGCTTATGTAAAAATGGCTATCCAAGAGGATTGGGGTTGATGGGAGAGAGGGTAGGGTAGTGGATTTGGTCAGAGTAGAGATGGGTTCTCTTGTAGTTATCTGTAAAGTGACTGGACATGACATTTCATATCAGTGTGAGAAATGGAAAGAAATGATTAGTCTGTGGTGTGCGTATATATAATTTCTGTATTTGGCATTATGTTGCGTTTGAACATTTGGTATCGATATGATGACCGTGATTTCTCTGCAAGTTAAACTTATTTCTGTCTTTCTGATTGACCGTTTATTTGTTTGATAGTTTAGTATGACACGAAAAGAATCCCGGTGTTACTTTTGAGGGAGTAAAGGTCTTTTATAGGGATGGATCATTAAACTCTAGGGTTTTAGAGAAATTTAGGACAATCTCTTTATTTTAAATGTGTGTTAGGTGTTTTTCATTAAAAAGAAAAGAAAAATTACCCTTTGGGTAAAAGGGGAAAATTAATACCATCTCACTGCAATACAAACAAAATAGTACATCATTGTTCAAACTTGAGTTTACACAAGCCCAAACAAATGAGATCATAGTTATTAAGTTAAGAATCAAGATTAATTAATGACATCCTTGGTTATTCTAATATTATCCAAAGATCATAAGTTAAACAATCCCCGCGTGCATGCAAAAGTAAGGTGACTTTATACCAAGGGAATGGATTTGTCCTTTTTATTGCTGGTTGAGAAGTGGATGAAATCAAAATAAGGGGGGATGAAAATAACGTCCCTAGGGAAGCAAACACGAGGTAATAACTAGTAAGGAAAATAATTTTTTTTTTAGTAAATCACATTCTGTATTCACAAACACTCTTTCTTTTCTTATTTATTATTTTTAAAATTTTGTAATTAAAAATAGTGTATACATTTGTGATTCAACTACATCACTAAATAGATAAACATTATCCTTATTTTATAAATATATCTTCAATTAATGCATATGATAGAGTTCACTATTTCCAATTTTCATTTAACAAAATGTTTATAATTATTGTATTTTTTTATACTGATTTCATTCATTCCTTTTGAATGTATGCAAACTGGATTCGGTGGAAATAATATAATCTTTCTTGTGGCTTAAAATATTGGTATTTGGAGGCATAGTTAATTAGCATCACTTAAAACTAATTAAGGTGGTATTTGCACATTCCTTTAAATAGTATGTTTTGTTTTTGAAATATTAATCAGCTTCAAAATAAATTAACGTGATGAAAACTAATTAAAATTTTTAAAAAGATTTTCAACACAAAAGTTATACGTGTGTGTGTATGTTTTTGATTCACAAATATATTTGCATGCATGGATATATTGATTATTGTTCAAGTTAGATTTATGCATATGAGTTTAGGGGCGTAACTTTACTAAGGTCTATAAATATGGTAGTTGGTGGAAAGGGGGTGGTGGTAGGAAGGGTGATCGACATCTTTAGATGTTAAAGGTGGAGATGACCATAAGGGTGTAAGAGGTAAAGAAAATAGTGACAGAGATAAGGAAGGAGAGAGAGAGAGATGAGAAATAGAATAAATATAATAATAATAATTTTTTTATATTTTGAAAAATTATAATAAGGGGAATTATATTACACCTCAAAACGCTATAATTTTGAAGCACAAGATTGGAGTTCTTCCTTGCAAATATTAGCTTAGATGAACTTGACAAGATTAGCTTATATGAAGGGATCCTAAGGGCTTGTTTGGGAAGTGTAATGTGATGTAGTGTACTGCTCTACTCTAGAACAGAACAAGTATTGTGTGATGTAGTGTTCTGAAAGGAGAACAAAACATGTTTGGGGCGAAAATTTTATTCTGATAATTTTGGAATAGAAATTATTATTATTATTATTATTATTTTATAATTATTTTAAATTAAAAAAAATTAAAACAAAACCCACAAGTTTGCAGTTGCAGAGAGAGACAATATCAATCCGTTTTCTTCCATTTATTCCAAGGCAAAGATTCAACAATCCCTTAACCAAAATCAAGGAACTATCCATACGTTGTTGAATAGAAATAAAGAATGCCAATCTTTGATAATTTTGTCATCATCCAATTGTTCTCAAATGGGTCCATTCAAAGAAAGATCGAGAATAGAGATGCAAGCGTTTGGGAGGCTGAAATGATTTGCCCTAAAAAAACAAATAAAACAAAACCCACAAGTTTGCAGTTACAGAGACAGAGATCGAGAATAGAGATGGAGGCGTTTGGGAGGCTGAAATGATTTGCCCTAAAAAAAAACAAAACCCACAAGTTTGCAGTTGCAAAGACAGAGATCGAGAATAGAGATAGAGGCGTTTGGGAGGCTGAAATGATTTGCCCTAAAAAAATTTGAACAAAACCCATACAGCTTTGCAGCTGCAGAGAGAGAAAGGGAGAGAGAGAGAGAAACTTGGGCAAGTTCAGAGTTGAGAACGAGAATAAAAATGGAGATGGGACTTCTGATCCTTGTAGATTTTGTACTCTGCAGTTGGAGAGAGAGAGGGGGAGAGAGAGAGAGACTAGGGCCAGTTCAGAGTTAAGAACGAGAATAGAGATGGAGGTGGGACTTCTGATCCTTGTGGATTTTGTACTTTGCAGTTGTAGAGAGAAAGGGGGAGGCGATTGGGAGGCTGAAATGATTTGTGGAACACTTGGAACAAGTTTTTTTTGTTCCAACATTTGGCCCAAATAGTGCAAAGTGTTCTGATACTGTTCAGACCAGCACAGCCTCCACCAAACATGGTTTGGGCCTTAATAGTGCTACTGTAGCACTATTGGGAACAAAACAACATAGCACGGAACATCTACCAAACAGGGCCTGAGTGAAGTCCATGCAAATTGATTAGCTTAGATGAAGGCCCATGTACAATTTTTATTTTGCTTCTTATCTAACAATGGAAACTCAATCATTACTCTCTCCCCTCTCTCTATTTTGTTCTCTATCTCTCCAAACAAACATATGATATATCATAAGGAAAATGATTATCAGCCGATTACTTAAAGTGAATTGTCTGACTTGATTGGTCTGTAAGCAAAATATAAAGAAGTAGAACCCTCTACTTTCTTATATTTGATAAAGATGGCCAATAAAAATTTATAAATTAAATAACTCATTTTGAGAGTTCGCCCAAGTATCACTACTACATACAGTGATAGAGGCAGCATGTGCCCAGGGGGGCAGCTGCCCCCTGCCCATGCTGCCCTACTATAATTTTTTTTTAATACATATATTTGTAAAAATTGATAAAATGCCCCCCTTGAAATTATTAAAATGATCCCTTTGCTCTTAAATTTACTAAATTTTATTTTATTTTATGCATATAATTTGTAAATATTTATAAAACACCCTCATAAAATTTATAAATGATCCCCATAAAATTATCTATTTCTAAAAACGTCTTTAATTCTTTATTTCTTTTCCTTCTTATTCTTCAAATTTCTTTTTGTTATCTTTAAAAAATTTTGCATTATCTTTTTACAATTAAAATCTATTTTTTCCTTCAAAATTCTCTCATATTTTTTTCTTTTTATTTCATTTTCTTCTTAAAAAATTTATTTTTATTCTTTAATTTTTTTTGCACTCATACATAATTTATGTGCAATAACCCTTCTTTTTTTTATTTTATCTTCTTATTCATTTTTTATTTATTTATTTTAATATATTATTATTATAGTATTATATTTTCGATTATTTTATAGATGTTAATATATCCTGAATCAAATTCTTGGCGCCCTGACTACATATCATAAACAAACAAATCCCATGGTAATTTCGAAAGTAAAATTGGCATCTGTAACGGCATTTTTCTACCGTTGATATATCATCCACGTGGTGATTCAGGAGTACTTCAATAGGTATTTTGGTCAAAATTGCCTTTTAATGTTGCAGAGAGCCATGCTCGAGAAAGCAACCTAAAGAAGACGAAATCCTCCCTGTTAACCAAAAAGTTTGCAGTAGTCCGGAGTGTGTCTTCACTTTTAATCCTTTCACATATTTGACTGACCTCTCCAGGTTCAACGATTGGAAAAAGAAAAAAATATAATGTTAAAATGCTACTACTATTTTATTTTATTATCATGAAAATAACAAAGAATATAAATAATAAAAAAATACGGTAATATTTAACTAGCTTTCCATATCATTTCTCATTCTTAATTATGTCATCAATCTTTTTATCCTCACTATTTATTCAAAAATAATATTAAATATTTGTTTTATCCTTAATATTATTCAGAAACCATATCAAATATTTGTTTATTTTTGTTTTTCTTTTTTCTGTTCCCCACTAAATATATGAATTAGATGGAGATGTTAATCAACTTAATTTTCAAAGTTTATGTTTTTTTATTATTCATAAATACTGTGTAAAATTTAGTGTAAAGTTGCTTTACTTTAATAATATAGTTCAATCCAAATTGTTGAATTAAATTACAGTCTAAATATATACGTAGTATATAGGTTTACAAAGTAGAGCACAGGCTATACAAGAATTTTTTGCAATAATAATTATTGTGAGGACGAGAAACGCCAAATTGAGTTGCGTCCCATCGCAGACTTGGGCAGTGCAACTATGAAGGAGCAGGCGGCATGGCAATGGGCATCAAAATGTACTGAGTGGCCTCCTCACATCTCATCGCAGACTTACCCAAATTAGAGGTCAGTCCACTCTCAGATCCACACTCAACTACCATTCAATATATCAATGATATATCTTTTACCCTAAAAAAAAATATATCAATGATACACTCTAGGACTGAAAATATATATATATTCTAAAAAATAGCAAAACTGTACTGAGTACTGACTACTGACTACTGAGGTATGGTAATAAAAAATGTGTGAGATCAAAAAGTAGTCGACCCCATTTCAGGCCGAACCATTTTGAACAACCAAGTCAAAGGAACAGGATGGCTTGGTCTTAGCATTTAAGACCGTGACTAAACCAAAAGCTTTTTTAATTTGAATGACCAGTCAAAAGCTTTAGTGCATATTCATATCAATATATGAATATATTAATAGAATTATAGTGACCTTGGCACTCTACCTCTAATATATATATATATATATATATATATTTTTTTTTTCTCTTAAAATATATTTGATTTAGGCAAATATCATCCGGGTGTTTCATTCAACGCTGCTGAGTATTTTGAGTCCTTCTCTACAGTTGCCACACTTTCAATGACGACCCACTTTTCATTTTATTCATATAATTTAATAATGGAAGGGTGAATTATCAAAGTGATATTAACAATGGCCTAGGTTCGAACTTCAGTGAAGATATGAATATGTGACAAATTCTTTTTTTTTAAAAAAAGATTGAAAATTCAATTCTAAATAAGGAATATGCATACGAGTACCAAACTAATAATAATAATAATAATAATTAAAGTGATGTCAAAGAGCTTCTTTAGAAATTATCTTAGAGCAACTCCAATGCTCTTTCATTTGGGCTACTAAACTCAAAATTTGAGAGATGTGTAAAAAGTGGGCTCTCCAATGTGTTTTCATTTGGGCTGTTAAATTTTGAGAATGTCAAATTTGCTCTCAGATATAGGAGTTGCCAACTTTTTTGGCAAGTCTTCTATCGCTCTGTACGACGTCGTTTGGAACGGCTTTCTATCTCTAGTCATTGCTTTTCTGTCCATTGCTCTGTGGTTGCATTGCCCTGTTTTTCACTCTCTCCCTCTCATCTGCAATGACAACAATTATCGACAGTGACCGGATAAATTCTCATATATGTATGTATATAGATACACACACACACATCTATCTTTTCAGATCTATAAATTTTGTTGAAAAAACTCAATTTCTGTGATCAGTCTCTCTGTTTCTCTCAAAATTTTCATTACCCAACTTGTTCTTCAATTTGGGGTTGGCTCACACTTGTTAGTTATTATGTGTTTCGAATTTAGATGTTCTTTATTTTGATGAATATTTGAGATTACGGTGTTTCGAATTTAGATGTTCTTTATTTTGATGAATCTTTGAGATTACGGTGATGACCTCAAAATTATTTTTAAAAACCATACATACAAGTTAGCAATTGCACAGAGAGGGGGGCAAACTTGAGAGTTGAGAGACAGCGGCTGAAGCTTGCGAACGGCGAACCCGAACTGGAATAGCGGGCGATTGAAAATGAAAGATATGGGTTTTGATTTTTTGAACAATCTGAAATGATATGCCAATATGGGTTTTGAACTTTTGATTCTTGCAGACAGATAGATAAACTGAAATATATGGGTTTTAAACTTCTGGTTCTTGTAGATTTTATAGTTTGCAGTTACAAAGAGAGAGAGGGCAAGTTCAGAGTTGAGAACGAGAATAAAGATGGAGGCGATTGGGGAGGCTGAAATGATTTGCCCTAAAAATATTTTGTGGGACAGAATGCAATGAATGGTTAAGATGGAAAGGTAATATAGGATTGAGGAAGCTAGAAGTGGGTTGGGCTTGGTTTAATGGAAGTTGAGAATTACTAAAATATAGCATTTTGGATGAAATGTATTATTGGAGTAGAATTATTAAAATATAATATTTTGACACTGTAACTCATCTCAAAATATAAATTTAGCAACCGAAATGACATTTTACATTAGAGATGATCCTACCTACTATACATAAAGAAGAAACGCCGAAATTCAAAATATGCAGTCTGTATAAAAATATTTAGACATTATGGTCATTGTTTGGTCACAAAATTCACTCCTATTTGACATGGACCCTTTGGCAGTTCACAAATTACTACAACGAACTGTTTTATAGAATGAACTATAAATTCAACAAGAAGTTCAACTTCATATATATATATATATATATATATATATATTACAAAACAAAAAATGGCCAAGTCAAATGATTAGATATAGGCAAACACTGTTGTCCTCAAAAAAAAAAAAAAAAAAAAATTAATAATAATAATTTTCAAAAGCCAAAGGCCAAAAATATCATGTAAACAAATACATATATCAACTGCGTGTCAAATTCCGGAGCTCCTTGGTGGAGATATTAATTTCCATGTTGCAATTCATGTCAACTGATTTCTTCTTCTTCATCACCTTCATTAGCTCCACCTTCCCCTTCAATCTGGATTGGCTGCTCAGCGGCAAAAACCCCGAGTTTAAGTCACTTCCTAGCTCCAAATTGATCGGCAAACCGGTTGATGACAAGTCCACAACCACACTCAACTTCTTGGTTGATAGTGCTTTCGCTCTTGCCTTTGGAACAATGGCACTACCCACTTGGGCACCCTTATAGAAGAAGAAAATAGTGCTATTGTCGAACTTGTAGTGACCAAAATTGGTATTTTTCACTCCCAGCTCAGCATTCATCCTCAATTTGAATGAAGGGTTTGAAGCCACAACCTCAAGGGTCTCAAATGCTGCAGACCTAACGCCAAATTTAGGATTTTTGATCTTCATCACGGTCAGAGAAAAGAGCAATATTGACACCGGTTTGGAACACAGCAAAAGCAACAGCATATGCCAATCATTTCATGCGCTTCTTGCGACGAAGCTCTTTGGAAAGCTCGAAGCCTCCAGCCTCTTCATCACTCCGAACATATCCATTGGTTGGCGCCAAAGGATAGGTCTGTCTCTGATCCTTATCCGCCATTGATGATTTGAAAGAAATGTTGATCGGTATGGAAGATAATGTGGCCATATATATATATATATATATATATATATAGTACACCCATACGACGTTGGTGCTTGTAATTGACGTATTAAACAATGTGACACCTTCCTAGAAGCTTTACTTGAAAATGCTAGGATCAATTTTAGTGGACTTTCTAGAAACGCGTCTAAAGTATTTGATTTATGAATTATTCGAATTTGGTAGGTAAGAATGTGCAATAAAATATTTAATTCAATAATATTAGATTGTTCTACAGGAAAGGGCCAAAGTAGGAGTAATAGCTTAAATGAGCATAGTCTGCATTTGTTAATAAATAAAAAAATGGCTGATACAAAATTTTGGTTTGTAAATATTATCCTATGTACGTTCTTCTATCAATCTGCTATTCCTATTTATAAATGAACACACCCTTGTACCAGAGACCTCTAGTAACCGACTTAGAAGTTACAGATACATCCAGCTAGATTACTTCATTATTACTCTTTCAAGCCATCAAAATTGATTGGCTGGACGATTTTCTACAATTATCTAGAATTACAAAGTAATCTTAACAAATAGTTCTATTTCAATTGACATATTACTCTATTAATATGTTTACACAATGAATCTGTTTCTCTATGAGAGAACATGGACAGTTTGGCGTTACTTATGTATGACAAGCAAGCTGGAGAATGTGACATCTAATATAAAATTTTAAATCCTATAAAGAGTTTAAGCAACATAAAGTTTGAGAGTGACGAGAATGTGAGTTTGAATGCAAATGCTAAAAGACTCTATATATTTTTAGTCTTATATCCTGCCTACATCAATGGAACACACACTTGGTACAACATTTGTATTTTAGTGACTCATTTATTGAATTGCTTAATATATAGGGTAAATTATTCTCTGAGTTTTTAACTTTGATTAAAGTTGGTTAAAACATTGGTCTATCAATAATCAAAGATAGGTCCAGCCCGTTAACAATTCGCTAGGGCAATTAGAGATTGGTTATTTAATACTCCTCGACTAAACATGTGAAATGGTCAATTTAAACTCATCAAATGAAATTACAAAATTACTCTTCTTATTCCTCTTAATTTTCATTTCACACCTTACTTGATCGTATCATATAATTTGTTTAACTACATATTTGAAATTTCTATACCTTTTTGAGATTACAATGTGTAGCAATCAACTATCCATTCTTTATAGCATGGTATTTTTTTTTGGTTTTTCAAAATAGAAAATTGAGGGTTTAAGTCCTTGTAAGAATAAGTGGGTGTGTGAGTACATTTCTTATTAAGATAGGAGAAAAAAAAAAACACTGATCCATCTTCTAATTGCAAGAAGAGTCCGTTGCTTCGTCTTCAATCCAGGATGAAACACTAATCAAGAAAGAGTCGGTTGCGGTGGTGGATGGTGGGGATGGAATTGAAGGTGGCCAAACAACGAAACTGAATCAATATAACCATCTTTTTTTGTGGATAAAAAATATTTAGAACGAACCATATAAAGTGAGACTCGGTGATGATGCAATCGTGTGGGGTTTGGTGTTAAAATTGTTTAATTTTCCATTAACCAAACATAGCAACAAGAAAATCACATTTGAGAACTCAAGGTTGAACATTAAACAACAAAACAAGACCTAATACGTGGAGGCCCGAAATGGAGTCCTAGCGAGAAATGGGCTCAAGTTTTGTAGACCTTGCAAAAGCATATGACTTAGCTATAGCAAAGTAGCTCCGGTCGGTTTTTTGAGGTTCATGGACTTGAGAACGGAATAAAAAAGGGGGAAACTCAACCGTCTTACGAAAGGAAATGCCGGCATAGTAATCGGATCTGCTTTTACATATCTCCCGGTATTTGAAACCCTACTTTATCGAATTATAAGATAGAAAGAAAGCAGTTGGTTGGGACTACGACGCGTATTCAAAATCTTTCTTTGGATTGAATCCTTGGCGATGGCTGATTGTTAAACTTTAGTAGCAAAGGATGGTGGCATCATTGACAATGTTTTGGCAAAATCTTAAGATGTGATTGAAGGCTTGAGCTAGTCAAAAGATGAGAGTAATTTAGTCAAATTTAAACTATATTTGAGATGGCTCATTCAGCTTTACAGAGTATTTGGAGCTCTGTACTCCATAAAGAGGAAATTCCAAATAAAAATACATGATCATCTTTTAATTGAAATGTAGGGGTTGGACATGAACGGTGAACCTCACACACACAAACACACACTTGGCTGCTACCACAGAGTGAATGCCAAGGTTCAAAATTTGTTGCCTTCAGAAAGAAAAAATGTTGACAGTGTGTCTACAGTCCTTGGTATCATGAAGAAACTTTTCTAATTTGGGTATGGAAATCCAAAATGACGCCACACAAAATTTATTAATTAGGCCATTTTAGGAGTTAAAAATGCATCTGAAAGCCTGTTGATTAACACTTTGACCATACTACCCTTATGATATTCAATGTAAAAAATAATGATTTTTTTCCCAGTTAACTAGTAGAATGAACTTTAAATTCAACTACAAAATTCAAATCCACGTATATATATCACAAAACAAAGAATGGCCAAGCCAAAGGATTACAAACATTGTCCCCCTCAATATATATATATATATATAAAGTAATTTTCAAATGCCTAAGGCCTAACACATAAGTAAACATATATGTCTATCACTTGCACGTCAAATGCCGGAGCTCCTTGGTGGAGATATTAAGTTCCATGGTGCAATTCATGTCAACTGATTTCTTCTTCTTCATCACCTTCATTAGCTCCACCTTTCCCTTCAAATTGGATTGGCTGCTCAGCGGCAAAATCCCGGAATCCAAGTCACTCCCTAGCTCCGAATTGCTTGGTACGCCGGTTGATGAAAGGTCCACAACGACATTGAACTTCTTGGTTGATCGTGCTTTCGCTCTTGCATTTGGAACAATGGCACTACCCACTTGTACACCCTTATAGAAAAAGGTAATAGTGCTGTTGTCGAACTTGTAGTGACCAAAATTGGTGTTTTTCACTCCTAGTTCAGCATTCATCCTCAAATTGAATGAAGGGTTTGAAGCCACAACCTCAAAGGTCTCAAAAGAAGCCGACCTAACTCGAAATTTAGGATTTTTGATCTTCATCACGGTCAGAGAAAAGATTAATATGACACCAGTTTGGAACACAGCAAAGGCAACAGCATATGCCAAGCATTTCATGCGCTTCTTGCGACAAAGCTCTTTGGAAAGCTCGGAGCCTGCAGCCTCTTCATCACTCCGAACATATCCATTGGTTGGCGCCAAAGGATAGGTCGGCGTCTGATCCTTCTCCGCCATTGATCTCTTTGATTCTTGATAAAGTATATTATTGGATCTTTGCTGGTTGAATGTGAGAGATTTGAAAGAAATGTTTGATGGTTATGGAGGGTAATGTGTCCATCTATATATAGTGCGCGCCACACTGGTTGGTGCTTGTAATTGACGTATTAAACAATGTGACACCTTCATGGAAGCTTACTTGAACAAGCTAGGATCTAGAAACGCGTCTAAAGTATTTGATTTTTAAATTAATTATTCGAATTTGGTAGGTGACATTGTGCATTAAAATATTTAATTCAATAATTTTAGATGGTTCTTTAGGAAAGGGCCAAAGTAGGAGTAATAGCTTAACTGAGCGACACATATATTGCCATTTTCTTGCTCTAGTTATCCTCGATTTTTCCTGTCTAATAGCGCTTACTACTTTGATGTGCCGAAACAAAAATAAAATTAATAAAATAAAAATGACTATCCAATTTTATTATAATCAATATTATTCATAACATTCAGAGCTGTACTATTATCACAAAATCAAAATCTGTAGATGATGTTGTTCTATCAGTTCTCCATATTCATGGTAAAGGAATCAAGAACCATCATAAATGTTATTTTATCATGATTGTGGGGCAGAGTATTTCTTTCTATTTATTTCCCATTTTTTTAATGATATTTTTTATTTTTGAAAAATTAACTAAATGTTGTTTCTATATGAAAAATAATATTTGCTATATATATATATATATATATATATTTTCATTTATCTCATTTCTGAGAGTGGAAAAAGTTTGAGAGTGACAAGAATGTGAGTTTGAATGCCAATGCTAAAGATTATGTATATATATTTTAGTCTCATCTTCTGCCTACATCAATGGTACATACACTTGGTACAACTTTTCTATTTCAGTGTCTCATTTATTGATTTGTTATTTGCTGGGAACTATTCAATGTTAATATATAGGATAAATTACTCTCATACCACTTAAATGTAAGGACTCTGTTTTGATTGGTGGTTGGAATTATTTTTAGTCCATTTGAGCTCTAACTTAGTCCCAAACAAGTTGGTACCTTCCTCGGTATTTGGAAACATCATTAAGGCCCAAAATAAGTAGAATTGACAAATTTTAAAAGCGAACATCTGAAAATATCCAAAGCCAATAAAATAATACAAATACTACTCTATAAGCATTACTAAAATTATTATATGCAACTTTAAAGGCTCAAATATGCAAATATTCAGTACTTATTATACTTTCAGACTTACATATTCCCAGTCCCTTAGCGGTACAAAACAAAAATTAAAATACAGCAAACTAAACTAATTAACTTCCTTTTTCGTGAGAGAAACGATCGCATTTAGTGTATACGACAAGCGTAGTTTTAAACTTCTAAGTTACCCTAAGTGGATGAGTACTCACAAACATCTAAAATTTGTACATAAATTGCACTTAACTCAATTACTTCGATGTACTGAAACACGGTTACATTCACATCATTATCAAATGAATTAGCACATGAAGTATAAGAAAGATTCATACTTCCAAGCAATTCCAAACTTCCAATTACATAAACAAACACTATAGTCCCCACACAAAATTCCCAATCACTACCAACCTTAGTTTTCTTTTGAAGTGAACTAACATTCAATTTTGAGTTTTATCCTTTTATTCTTATATTACACATCACAACTTCTTTCAACTTGTTAGTATTCAATTCCAAGTTATAATAACCACAACATGAATTCATAATTACATTTATGCATTCATTTTTTTTTTTTTTTCAAGGCGGCAAGCTGTGCAATGTTGTAAGTCCCAGCTGGTTTTTGGATTGATGATTTATTAATCATATCATCTTAACTATGAATCTATGACATATATACATGTGTAAGCTATATAGTCTATATGCATATGTGTTATCCACGTCTTCTTGAAGTTTTTTTTTTGGAAAGTTAAGCAACTGACATTAAAGCAAAAATAATTACAAAGTTTAGGGCCGGAGCCCAGTTACAAGTGAGATTAAGAACAAGCCCAATGGGCAACAAGGGCACAGGCCCAGACCAGCCCAAGAGATCCTCCCATTAATTAACTTCGAAAGAGCCATTAATGGGGAGAACACAACCAATTCCGGTGAACAATTCAAACAGAGACGTAGCTGGATTGACGGCTAGGATGAAAGATCTGGAGGACGAGGAGGTGGTCTGCAACAGGATGGGGGAAGATTCCATTCCGAGAGAATTAACCTCGAGGCCGCAGAGTCCTTTAGAAATCCCAATCTAAGAATTGAAGTAATGGAGTGGATAATTCTGGCAAGAAGAGTTCTTTGTGAGCATTTACCTTTCTTGAAAATTCTGTTGTTTCGCTCTTCCCAAGTGTGATAAACCATTGCAGAGAAACAAATTTTCCTCACCAAGTTTTGGGGAGAGTTAGTCTTCCACATGGAACTTGTCAGCCAGACCAAACCATTCCAGTTTGTGATAACTGTTGAGAAGTGGCATTTGTCTTTTAGGAATCTCCAAATTGGAGAGACAAAAGAGCAATTGAAGAACAAATGATCATGAGATTCTAGAGAAGTAGCACACAGCGGACATGCGTTTTGGAATTTGGACATGGATTTGCTGTCAAGTGTTGACAATCTAGATTGGACTGCCATCCATAGGTTAAATTTCATACAAGGAATGATTGGGGAGCTCCATACCAGATTGAACCAAAGGACCTTGTCTAGATGCCCTGCTAGATGTCCTGCAAGGAATGATTGAAGTTGAAGTAATGTAATATGAATCATACATGAATTAGATGAATCATACATGAATTACTACAGGACATTTGAATGCTAAAATATGCAATACCAGCTGGCTAGACACAGTTGATGCATTTGAAGAGTAATTTGATCTTTTTAAGTTTGGCTCTTACTTTCCATTAGGGTTTCAAACTCTGACAGGGTGTCAGAGTTATTTTGACAAAACTTTTATTTAGGAGTGAAAAGTGAAAACCTTAGAGCATGTGAGGGTAATTTACTATATTATATATATGAATTATCCCGCGTATTTCTTCAAATTTGATAAGCCAATTGGTTCTACTTCTATTATAGACGTGTAGGTGCAAGAAATTTTGTTGACCACAAATAGCATAACATAGATCTTACATTAACCAAAAAAAAAAAAAAAACACTCACACCTTTTCTCACACTACTTTTTCCTTACACCGGGCTTAAACCTCTCCCTTCTTTTACAAAAATAATGTTATATTTTTTCCTAATGATAAAATTATATATGTAATATGTATATTTTATATCTTTCCCACCTACATACACTTGGTAGAGCTCTTGACTCGTGTGCTTGGAGTAAACTCCACTATATATATATATATATATTTTTTTTTTCAAACTCCCCTTCCCCTCAACTAGCCAATGGGGTTACTCTTACTAATTTCCCCAGGACCCCCACCAAGTCAAGTCATTAGTGGGTTAATTTATTGAAATTTGATCAATTGTGTGAATTTAACTATAATATTTGAATGTGGATTTTCTTTGCATGTATCACCATACTCATAATTACGAATTTTATTCTTTAATATACGTGCACTATATAGTTAAATCCAATATCATTTCCTCTCAAATTTTTATTTTTTATTATTATTATTATTTTTTTAACCAAACATTATTTTATGTCATTCAACTACTTTTTGTAATTGAAATTTGTCTTTGCCGATTTAATTATTTGATCAAATATCCATGTCATATACTTATCCATAAACGCATGGTAAAAAATAAAAAAATATAATATAAATAACATAATAATGGTACATAAAATTATAATATGAGTAAACATATAAGCTTTGAACACATACCTTTAAATTTTATTTTATTTTTTTGATAATTTTCTTTAATTAAAAGTATGGTGCTAATTGTAACAAAAATACATGTATAAGTTCAAATTTATTATTCAAGAAAGAAAAATAAATTAGAATCTTTTAGCTAAAGGTTAAAAAAAAAAAAAAAAAAATACAAACCTTCTGAAAATTTAAAATAACCAAAAAAGTTGGTCAAATGATGAGCACAACTTACATATTTTATGTCCAGCCCTTCTATGTGTCCCTCCTCATCTGGTCCAAAGTTTATTTTTTTGACTCATCACATTGAATATTTACCACCTGATTGACTTTAAACATCTGCTTATCCAAAATGATTGCTGGAAATAGATGTGTAGGTGCAAGAAATTTTGTTGACCACAAATAGCATAACATAGATCTTACATTAACCAAAAAAAAAAAAAAAACACTCACACCTTTTCTCACACTACTTTTTCCTTACACCGGGCTTAAACCTCTCCCTTCTTTTACAAAAATAATGTTATATTTTTTCCTAATGATAAAATTATATATGTAATATGTATATTTTATATCTTTCCCACCTACATACACTTGGTAGAGCTCTTGACTCGTGTGCTTGGAGTAAACTCCACTATATATATATATATATATATATTTTTTCAAACTCCCCTTCCCCTCAACTAGCCAATGGGGTTACTCTTACTAATTTCCCCAGGACCCCCACCAAGTCAAGTCATTAGTGGGTTAATTTATTGAAATTTGATCAATTGTGTGAATTTAACTATAATATTTGAATGTGGATTTTCTTTGCATGTATCACCATACTCATAATTACGAATTTTATTCTTTAATATACGTGCACTATAGAGTTAAATCCAATATCATTTCCTCTCAAATTTTTATTTATTATTATTATTATTATTTTTTTAACCAAACATTATTTTATGTCATTCAACTACTTTTTGTAATTGAAATTTGTCTTTGCCGATTTAATTATTTGATCAAATATCCATGTCATATACTTATCCATAAACGCATGGTAAAAAATAAAAAAATATAATATAAATAACATAATAATGGTACATAAAATTATAATATGAGTAAACATATAAGCTTTGAACACATACCTTTAAATTTTATTTTATTTTTTTGATAATTTTCTTTAATTAAAAGTATGGTGCTAATTGTAACAAAAATACATGTATAAGTTCAAATTTATTATTCAAGAAAGAAAAATAAATTAGAATCTTTTAGCTAAAGGTTAAAAAAAAAAAAAAAAAAAATACAAACCTTCTGAAAATTTAAAATAACCAAAAAAGTTGGTCAAATGATGAGCACAACTTACATATTTTATGTCCAGCCCTTCTATGTGTCCCTCCTCATCTGGTCCAAAGTTTATTTTTTTGACTCATCACATTGAATATTTACCACCTGATTGACTTTAAACATCTGCTTATCCAAAATGATTGCTGGAAATTTGGATACCAATTAATCAAATGCTTACAAGTTCGGCAACTTTCAGTTCTCGGAATTTAGTCATTCAAAAAACACACTTGCAATTTGTGGTAGTAAATTAGAAATTTGATTGGTTTTAATTTAGAGCTGATTTGTGAGAATTCAACTAGCATGAGGAAATATAATCTTACTGTCAATATAAATCCAAATATTACAAAGAATAATATATTTCAACACATACTGTCCTCAAACAAAATACAAAAAATGAAGTCCAAAATTAACACATGCAAAACGCAAACATATAAATTTAATGTCACTTGCATTTCACATTTCGGACATCTTGGCTGGATATATAAACTTCCATGGTGCAACTCATATCAGTGGATTTCTTCTTCTTCATCACCTTCATCAGCTCCACCTTTCCCTTCAATCTGGATTCGCTGCTCAGCACTATAAACCCGGAATTTAAGTCATTTCCTAGCTCCAAATTGCTCGGTAAACCTGTTGATGACAAGTCCACAACAACATTGAACTTCTTTGTCGATCGTGCTCTGGCTCTTGCCTTTTGAACAATGGCACTGCCGACTTGTACACCCTTGTACGAGAAGGTAATTGTGCTATCGTCGAACTTGTAGTGACCAAAATTGGTGTTTTTCACCCCGAGCTCTGCATTCATTCTCAAATTGAATGAAGGGTTTGAAGTCACAACCTCAAAGGTCTCAAATGTGGCAGACCGGACACGAAATTTAGGATTTTTGATCTTCATCACGGTTAGAGAAAAGAGCAATATAACACCGGTTTGGAACACAGCAAAAGCAACAGCATATGCCAAGCATTTCATGCGTTTCTTCCGACGAAGCTCTTTGGAAAGCTCGGAGCCTGCAGCCTCTTCATCACTCCGAACATATCCATTGGTTGGCGCCAAAGGATAGGTCTGTCTCTGATCCTTCTCTGCCATTGATCTAGTATCTGATTATATATGTATGGTGAGATTGAATGAGATAGGTTTGGAAGAAATGTCGATGGGTTATGGAGGGTTTGTTACTATCTATATATATATATAACACCGGTTTATGCTTGTAACTAACGTATTAAAACAATGGGACACCTTCCTCGAAGCTTTACTTTAACAAGCATCAATATTCAATGTAAGTGGACTTTCTAGAAACGCGTCTAACGAGTAACGGTTCTGATTTTTGAATTGTTTGATTTTGTTGGGTAACATAACATTGTGTGATAAAATATAGAATTTGAGGAAGAGGATCCCTTAGAATCTGTTGTTGTCATGTGCATCAAAAAGACACTTCTTAATATACAACATATTTAATGAATCATCTCCCAATTTTATGGAAATAAAAAAGGCTAACGGAATATTGTCGATTTACCTCCAGCTACCAATCCACCATGTTTATTAATCTTTTAATTGCACGTGCTACTGTTCAAAAAATTAAACATTTTTTGTTATGAATAGAGGAAAACAATTCACCATGTATTAATCTTTTAATAGGACCTGTTACTGTGCACAAAATTTAATATTTTCTTCAACGGAAGAAAGAAAAAGAAGAACATGACTGTCCAATCTCAATGCAGTAACAGCCTGTAAAAAGAATGAATTGTACTACCATCCAAAATAATCAAAATCATTCTTAAATGTTCTTGTTCTATGATTTCTATCAGTTTCTAGATTCAGGATAAAGCAAGCAAGGACCTTCAAAAGTGTCTATTTATTACCGCCCCCCTCCCCCCCTCCTGTTTTTATTGAAAATATAGAAAAAATATGAGGGCAACATAATGTGAGTTTGAATGCAATGTTATCTATATATTTTAGGGTACACATACGAATTGATCATTTTACCCTATTCTCTCTCCATAGAGATTTTGAACACTTTTTCTTTTTCTTTTTTTCTTTTTTCTTTTTTTTTTTAATGGTGCAAAGGTTTATTTAACGGAACCTTGCTCTTGGAGCTGGAGGAAGATTCTACAGCTCAGACATCCTGCAATAACGACCCTCACCCTGGCCAGACACAATATTGTCCGCTTTTGGCTCACCCAGACCAGAGACTTCCCAGGGGGTCACCCATCCTGGTACTACTCTAAGTTAAGCACGCTTAACTACAGAGTTCTGATAGGTTCACGGCCATCACGGCTTTAAAACGCGTTGTGTCATAGAAGGGTGTTGAATCTACATATAGCACTTGCCCCATCCACATCCAGACGATGTGGGATTGTGCATCTGTAGCTCGCCCAGTGTGGTAGCCTACTAGTGCCCCCTGCACACGCTCACACACACCCGCCCACAAGGTCGCCACAATTACCCCCCCTTTGGGGCCCAACGTCCTCGTTGGCCACACTTCCGGCTGGGTCAGGCTCTGATACCATTTGTAACGACCCTCACCCTGGCCAGACACAATATTGTCCGCTTTTGGCTCACCCAAACCAGAGACTTCCCAGGGGGTCACCCATCCTGGTACTACTCCAAGTTAAGCACGCTTAACTACAGAGTTCTGATAGGTTCACGGCCATCACGGCTTTAAAACGCGTTGTGTCATAGAAGGGTGTTGAATCTACATATAGCACTTGCCCCATCCACACCCAGACGATGTGGGATTGTGCACCTGTAGTTCGCCCAGTGTAGTAGCCTACTAGTGCCCCCTGCACAAGCTCACACACACCCGCCCATAAGGTCGCCACAATCACCCCCCCTTTGGGGCCCAACGTCCTCGTTGGCCACACTTCCGGCTGGGTCAGGCTCTGATACCATTTGTAACAACCCTCACCCTGGCCAGACACAATATTGTCCCATTTTGGCTCACCCAAACCAGAGACTTCCCAGGGGGTCACCCATCTTGGTACTACTCCAAGTTAAGCACGCTTAACTACAGAGTTTTGATGGGTTCACGGCCATCACGGCTTTAAAATGCGTTGTGTCATAGAAGGGTGTTGAATCTACATATAGCACTTACCCCATCCACACCCAGACGATGTGGGATTGTGCACCTATAACTCGCCCAGTGTGGTAACCTACTAGTGCCCCCTGCACACTCTCACACACACCCGCCCACAAGGTCGCCATATTTCCCATTAGCCTCACAAATGCCATTCCAGAGTTACTATCACTTCCCCCTCCATGTCCCTTAAGGAATGATAAAAAAGTCTGGATTGCTTCACCAAATGGCACCTATAGCCTCAAACACATTACAAGTCATCTAGCAGAGCATTCTCCTGAATTCTATTTGTACAATTTGGTATGGAGATCTCCATCAATACCTAGGATGAAATTCAACTTATGGCTTGCAGTTCAATCCAGATTCCCTACTCTTGACTGCAAGTCAATGTCTCGCCAGGAAAATATATGTGCTCTCTGCGAAAGCCACCAAGAATCACACCAGCATTTATTCTTCAACTGCAGCTTCATCTCCCCAATATGACGTTTCATCAAATTCAAATGCAGATTCAGTACTATAATCAGAAATTGGGAGGACTTGATCCTTTCCATAAGCACCCTTTGGAAAAGGGATTCTCCTAAGAATCTGCTAAGGAAAGTGTGTCTCTCCTCCATGATCTACCATACTTGGGAAGAAAGAAATAAAAGGATATTCAAAAGGAAAAAATCATCACAGAGAGTGGTTCTTGAAGATTACCTTCACAGTCATAGCTTTGCTCAAATTGGGGTTTTTGAAAGACAATCAATCCTCGAGGCAAATTCTCAGGGATTGGAATATGTCGCCTGCTCACTGCCGTCCTCCTCCAAGGCCGCCGGATAGTTCTCTTGGATGATGAAGATCACTCATCGTCCTCAGCTAGGGTTCACCGGATTGTTTCTAACAACCTCACTTAACGGCTAATCAACCGTTAATTGCGATTATTAGTTGGGTTCTTGGCTGGGCTTTCCTTGTTAGGCTAGTTGCTCGTTTTTTTGGGCTGGTTTGTTTCTCTCTTGGATTTTTTGTATTGGCCTAATGGCCCTCCTACGTAATTATTTTAAATTTATACAATTTGCTTCATTTTCCAAAAAAAAAATGTTTAGTTAACAGCAGTATGGCGATCCTCTAACCTTGCTATTAATAAATTTGTGTGATATACAGCTAGTTATTGAATAAATAAAATTGAGCCATATCTGTTTCAAAGGGAAGGAAATCAAATTCTGGATTTGACAGTTCAAAGTCTCCCTCAAATGTCTGATTCCAATATTTTGGGTGTCTTATGAGTGGGTTAGGTGCATCTCACACCAGTGGGAAGTACTGATGTTTAGCAATAATACTAATTACCTCGAAAGGGAAATTATTTTCAGGTCCGTGAAAAATTAACCCTCTTAAGGAGTCCAGAATACAATGAGGAAAATAATACATTGCATGAACTATGAGGTCTTCTACTTTGAGGGTGAATGACGATGAGTGGGCTGTTAGGTGGTGAAACGGGTTACTTGTCTGTCAATGCTTGAACTCGGTGGTGACCACGGATGAAGCAACATGGAGCTCTGAAGAAACCACCCACGAAGAGCAAGAAGGATTATGCTCGGTCGACGGCGAGCACGGGATGGTAGGGACTGACGGCGGTCTATGGTTCGGCGAGGACAACGAATTGGCGACGGTGAAGTGACCGGAGATGATGGAGCACGGTGGTGCTGTTGTTGGTGGCTGTTGTGGACTGGTTTCTTCATCTTGCCTTGTTGTTCCATCTTCGTCTTCAACTGACTGTCGTCTTCATCTTCGTCTTCAACTTGCCCTAATTTTCTCCTCCACATCTCTCCATCAAAATCCCTAATTTTTCAACCCAAGAAGGCCAAGGATGATTCTCGACATCAATACCGTCTGCAATTTGGCCGGAACTACTCATCGCCGACAATAAAACAGTACCAGGGAAAGAGAAGAGAGTTAGGGTTGCAGCATTGGTGAGGTGAGATTTGGGTGATGGATGAGCAGGATTGGGGATGATGAGGAAGAAGAGGAGAGGAGAAAGAAGGCCAATCCATGTGGAAAAACAGAGATAGTTTAGTTAAAAAAAGAGTCCACATGATGTCAAATGATAGTATAGTTATTTAACACTTCAAAATTACTCTTGACTTGTTAAACAATTGACATTTAAAATATGAGTAAAATGTTAAATTATTAATTTAAATATAAATAAAATTTAAAATTAAAATTTTTAACTAATTAAAAAATGACCTAACCTCTTAAAGTTGTAATTTATCCTATATTCTAACTTTATCTCCTCTCTGCATCAATGGTACACACACTTGGTAGTGCTCTGTTTCTAGTGTCTCATTGTCTGTTTTGCATTTGCTGGAGAACTATTCAATATTCTTGTATTAATATAAATATTAATTATTCCTATGTATCTTGCTCGACTTAATTCATTTGTGATGTACCTATAAAAAGAAAAAAAACTCGTAACACTGAGCATTGTTACAAAATTATAGCTAGCAATCCAACTTAAGAGAAAGAAAAACACTAAAGAGAAGAAAGACTAATTAGCAACAATACATCATTAATTCAAGTAATTAATTTGATATTTCGAACTAATCAGCAATAGCACAACCCTTCGAGAAAAAATGAGAAAAAAAATTCACTCCCAAAAAAGAAAAAAAAAAAATCTGAAAAATTAAAATACCCTCACAATGAATATTTTATGTCCTATAGATCTACGTGTCTCTCTCTCATCTGGTCCAAAGTTCATTTTTGACCCTTCACATTGAATATTTCCACTGATTTGACTTGCCAACGACTATTTTCCAAAATGATGGCATAAATTTTTTTAGTACCAACTAGTCAAATACCATACAAGTTAGGCAACCTTCAGTGCTATGAAGAAAGGAGTCATTGAAAAAAAAAAAAAAAAAACCATTTGTAATTTGTGTTTGTAAATTATGAAACTGGATTGGTTTTAAGAACTCTTGTAATGATTCAGAAAAGCTAATTTGTAGAATTCAGCGAGAAAATAATTTTATAGGATTGAATTAGAGAAAATTTAATTCGTAACTATGAATACAAATCTAAATAATACAAAGAATAGGCAGACTAAATGAGTAAAAAAAAAAAAAATTGAAGTCCAAAATAAACACATACACATAAATTAATGTCACTTGCAATTCAAATTTCGGATATCGCTGGTCGCTATATGAATTTCCATGGTGCAATTCATATTCGTCGATTTCTTCTTCTTCATCACCTTCATCAGCTCCACTTTCCCGGTCAATTTAGCCGTGCTGGTCAACGGCAAAATTCGGGAATTAATGTCACTCACCAAGGCCGAATTGCTGTTAACACTGGCCGACGAGAGTTCCACGGTGACATTGAACTCCTTGGTTGCTCTTGCTTTAGCTCTTGCCTTGGGAACAAAAGCACTGCCCACCGGTAAACCTCTGTAGTAGAAGGTGACGGTAGCGTTGTCATACTTGTAGTGACCGAAATTGGTGTTCTTGACTCCGAGTTCTGCAATCATTTTCAAATTAAATGAAGGGTTTGATGCGTTCACAGCAAAAGTTTCGAATGTTGTAGAGCGAACGCGAAATTTGGGAGTTTTGATTTTCATGATAGTGAGTGCAAAGATCAATATAATGGCAGTTTGGAACACTGCAAATGCCACAACATATGACAAACACTTCATTCTTTTCTTGCGACGCTCCATGGCCTGTGCCTCTTCATCAATTCTTTCATACTCATTTGGTGGTTGTAGTTGCTGCTCCTTATCTGCCATCATTATGTAATTGTAGAGAGAGAAACTGCTAGAGAGACAGAGATCGAAGGAAATGTTAGTGGAGACGGAGGGTTTTTGGGAGGTGTGTGTGTGTGTGTGTGTATAAAGGTAGAGGTACCGTATGGGATACGTTTGAAATCAAGAGAACGCCTTTGTTGAACTATTTTTATTAAACAAAGATTTTTATAATTTCTATGAATCTACTAGGTGTGAGTTGGGTTTATGGACTTTAATGCAATGGTGGTCCCAATGATAGTGGGACATTTTTAAAATTATCCTAAGATGGGGTCATCTATAATATTATATGTTATAGATGATTTAAAATTTTCAAATTTTCAAAGACAGTGAATTTTCCATTTCAATAATGTTATGGTCCATGTGGAAAGGGAGTGCTTGACTCGGTCTTATGTGGCTTTATACTATATATTTTCAGTATTTTCCAAAATTATCCTTGCACGCCATGTTTTATTGCATCGGATGTTATAGGAAAGGTGTAAAAAAAATTCTAAATTATGTTTGAATTTTTAAATAACCATCTTAAATTATGTTTGAATTTTTTAAATAAATTTTATTTTTTGAGCATAAAGGACTTCTTTAAATGAATAACACAAATTAAATAAATAAAAAGTATGAATTAGTTCTTTTAGGTGAAAAAGACTTCGGTGCACACACTTATGTTAATTATCAGTCAATTTATATCTTGTTATAAGTAAAAAGGTATAAATTTTATTATTACTTAGTAATATTTAATTAATTGATAATAACATATCATCTATATTTTAAAAACATTAAAATATTTTTCTTTCATGTCTGTTGAAGTCTAACATAAGAATTCAAGGATTAGTTATGTATAGGGCCTTCCAATATTTTATTGCCACATGAATCTCAAGCCTTCTAGTATTGTTTTTATTTCATCATATCAACAAACAAATGTACGGTGTCAAAAAAAAAAAAAACAGATGTACGAAGACTATATTACATTGATGATGGGTGTTGGTCAGTTCATCAAGAGTGTCAAAACATCATACGTTAGCATATTGTCTGAACATGTTGACTTTTGGAATCCATCTCTCTCACAACTTATTTTGTTGACTTATAGTGCAATTGTTGATGTATATATAAGAATAAAATGTTTAAAAATCGATATAAATAAACAAACCGTCCTATACGTTTTGTTAGTTTTAAAGTATGAAATTTCGACTCACCAAATTTATTAATTTAATATTTAATAATATTTTTTATTTTTAAAAATTAAATAAATAAAAAATTTAATGAATAATCTTTGTAAAGCAATGCTTATTTAAGCCCTAAAAATAATTAAATTGGTTCACTTATGTGACAAAAGAGTTGTATATATATAATTATATACGGAGTATTTAAATTGATGATAATAATTAATTTCCCTAAGAATAATTAAATTGGCTAACCTATGTGACAAAAGAGTTGTATATATAATTATATTTTTAAATTGGTAATAATAATTAATTTGCGCTCCTCATGATATCATTTAATTTGATAACATCCACATTAGTGGAGTGTGATGTCCCAATCAACTAATAAAGCTATCATTACACGGGAGGCCCGTACATTTTTTTGACTCATTGAACAAAACATGTATAATTTTTAAACTTAAGCCAATAAAAATGAAATCAGTCAAGTTTTAATTTCTTTTTCTGGGTTGAAAAACTCAAACAATTTGATGACTCAAAATAGAGTGCAATATGGTGAAATGTCCATTTAAGACATCAGTGGATAAGCACTGCCTTGGAGAAAGAGGTGACTTGTGAGCTACCTAATGAATATGACTGGTCAGATATTTAGGGGTCAAATGTCCAATCTCTCCCTGCAGTCCCTTTATTCAATTGGTGTGTTTTGACTTGGTCACATTGGAATATTTACACACCTGAAATACTTTCCCACCATTGTTCATCAATTGGGCTAAAATCCAATAAATAGAAAAAATTAGAATAATGTTTAACTACTCATCTGTAAATAACTTCGTTATATTCATTTCTCATATGTTTCAATAATAAAATAACACATCAATTTTAATAACAAAATAATCAAATAATCAATACCTTCCTCTGACTTTCTCCGATCGACCATTGAATAAATGTACATGACTTTTTTTTATTATTTTACTGATTTTGTTAGTAAAAATAAAGTGTTATTTTGTTATTTAAATACATAAGAGGTGAGTAAGGTAAAACTATTCACCGGTAAGTAGGTAAGCATTGTCTAAAAAAATTTAGTCACAATTTTAAATTATTTTTTTCAAAATTCTTTTTATGTCGATTCAGCACTTCTAAATGTAACTTCAGTATCAGTTTTGATGTTTAATTTGCAATTTGATTTGTACTTGTGGATTGAGCTATTGGATTAGATAGCTAGAAGTAGTGATCATGTAATATTGAATCCAAAAACTGATAAAATTGCATTCAACTAGTAGTAGCAAATCAAATAGCTAGAAACACTTATTCAAGTAAAAGAATATATGCAAAACATGCAGGAGGGACTATAGTACACTATCAACACACTGTCCCCCCTCAAAAACATACAATAAGACATCCTTCCTCAGAAATTAAATTCCAAACAAAAACCAAGTAAAAAACACACACACACACACATATCACTTGCACTTCACATTCTGAAGCTGCCTGGCGGAGAGATTAATTTGCATGGTACAACTCATCTCGGTCGACTTCTTCTTCTTGATCACCTTCATCAGATGCACCTTCCCGTTCAATTTCGACGTGCTGGTCAACTGCAAAACCTGGGAACTCAGATCGCTCCCCAACATCGAATTGGTTGCTAAATTGGTTGATGACAAGTCAACAAAAACAGTGAACTTCTTGGTTGATCTTGCTCTAGCTCTAGCGTTGGGAAACGTAGCAGTACCAACTTGTACATCCCTGTATAAGAAGGCAATACTACTAGCTTCAAACTTGTAGTGACCGAAATTGGTGTTCTTGACGCCAAGTTCAGCAGTCATTTGAATGTCAAACGATGCGTTGTTGGTTGTAAACGTTCCGAATGTGGCAGAGCGAACACGGAACTTGGGAGTTTTGATTTTCATGACGGTGAGTGCAAAGAGCAATATAATACCTGTTTGAAACACCACAAAAGCAACACCGTATGCCAACCACTTCATGCGCTTCTTGCGACGGAGCTCTTTGGATTGCGCGGCCTCCTCATCGCTCCGAGCATAGCCGTTGGCCGGAGCTAAGGGATACACGGGTTGCTGCTCTTTCTCTGCCATAATTCTTTTCTGCTAAACAGAGAGGAGAGACTTTCTGTGTTGTGTTTAATTTCTGTTTGTTCACAGGTGCTGGTGGAGAGGAGGGTTTGTCAAAATGTAAATATATATAGGGGGAAAGTTTATAATAAATATTTTTTAATTTATTGTGTATCAAAACAAATTAAGGGTTTTCATACCCTGAAGTCTCTTGATGAATACAAGGAAAAAGAGGAATAAAAAAATGAGTTAAAAGGAGGGATGGCTTTTTCAAACGCGTAGGGGATTTTGAATATTGACTTTTGGGGATATTTGATTGTGGCCTAATTGGCTTATTCGATTTCAGCAAGTTATATAGACATTAATTAATGTAAGTATTTTTAATATGTTAGTCTTAGAAGCTTCTATGCTGTCCATGTGAAAATCAAATCTCATGATTCTATTCAATGTGAAACATAACATATCCCGTTTGTGTCGCATCATATCATAAATTAAAAGGTGGCAAGTTGTGGTCTTCTAGATGCCATAAGTCACAGATATTATATGATTTTTTTATATTTTATTTTATTTTTGGGTTGGGGTTAAGCTTGTAGCAATCGCATAATATCTGTGACTGTATGGGCAGCCATGGTCCACCAATTAGGTTGAACAGGGGGTTACCTGGGGGGTCTAGGGGCAGCCATGGTCCACCAAAAATTTGTATTATTTTGCAAATCGATCCGTTTTAAATTTTATTAAAAAATTTAATTGACGGGCCTAAAATATTTTAAGAGCACTAATTTATTGGTTCTAAAATTAAAAACAAATAAATTTAACTTGTGTGCTTTGACAAGAATGCGAACAATAATAATACTGTAATATATGCTTAGAGCTCGTTTGGATCGCGATAACATATAGGTATTATGATTTGATATAATATGAAAATAACTATTTTAGTATTGGTGTATTTTTAGTAGATTTAGGAACCATGTTTGATAATGTATAACAAAAATATGAAAACGCGTTTGGTAATGTCATGCGTTTTAAGGAATCTGAAAATAAAACACGTTTGGGAAGTGTCAAAAATTGTTAATCAATAATATGATACATGTTTGGTAAAGACTGTTTTATTTTTGTTTTGAATACTTATATATATGAATACAATTATAAATTTATATGTAATAGTTAATTTTTTTTTATTTTATGATTTGAGATAATTTGTCAAAAAAAAAAAAAAAAAAATCTCCATTAAAGAGTTGGGAAAAAAAATTATGAATAAATTTACATGTTTAAATAAGATCATGTGGGATGTTTATGAGGCATAAATATGATTAGTAGCAACCAAACTATAAATCTAACTTTGTAATAATCTTTCAATGAGAAGAAATCTTTGCATTCCATTTATCTTTTTCTTTTGGCTTGCACTCCTTTTTCGTTGATCTTCTTGAATTGGTCAGAGTTGAGGTTTATTTATAGTGGGCATTGAAGCTTGTGAATGGTTTTACTTCACTGAGATTAGTTTGAAATTTTCTGGTGGAGATCCTTCAAAGTGCTAATATTTTGATTGTTAACTCATGAGACCATTTTCCCCTTTCTTGAGTATTAATTTTGATAATCAACTTCTGAATATTTCATACAATCTCCAGCCAAAGAAATTTATGCAGAAACATCTGACTCAAAATCAAGAAAAAGATCGGACTAGTGTGAAAACATATATATGCATTTATATATACACACACACACATATTTATTGTATTTTTCTTTCCTAAATCAACATGGCCTAAACACTGCTTTCAATTTTGTATAACAAATATATTTTAACAAACTTCTGAAAAACATAACAGGGTTTCTATGAAAACAAAAAAAACTGTCAACAATTACCAACTAAGCCCATGGTTTTGTGCTAAAAACATTTTCCAGTTGAAATTTGTAAACACAAACAAAAACGTATAATTACAACAAAATCAAAACCACCTGACAAACATATAGAAGATATTTCAGATACCTCAAGAGAGTTTAGTCAGAATTCATTTAGGTACATATATCCACACTTCTTCAAACGCCACAAACTAAAACTACCAACCATAGCAAAATATTACCAGACTATAGACATCTCATAATTCATCTCTGTTTGGGGTTCAGCACATGCAGTTGCATCTCCTTTCTTTACTGTCTCAACCTGCTCATAGGCCCTTGGTCATCTCATCAATAGGGACTAAAGGACAATAGCTGAAAAATGTATGACCTTTCGCAGTCATGTCTGCAATCGTCTTGTTGTACTTCTCCGACTAGCGACCAGCAGTAGGGACAACCATCTCTGCTAACGCGTGAAAGGGAGGAATCTGATTGACTCCATACCACACTCTCGCCGACCCATTCATGAGCAATTCCTTGTACAGTGTACCAACATAACGAATAGCTGCATAGGGGCCACCACCAGAGCCTCCTGCACTAAGATTTGAGCTACCTCTGATGTCTTGCGGGCAACAGAATTGAGACACCCTAACCCAATTTACACTATTTAATAAATTGAACAAATTGAAATGCATCCAACCATCTGTATTATTCTTATTCATACATGACATCATCCTACATTAGAGTACATACTTAACAGTTTACAATTAAAGATAAATTATAAATCCACCTCGCTAGTTCTAAAAAACTAAACAAGTCACTTCAAGTTATAATATTAAGTTCTACTACAATATTTACATTTTATACAAAAGTTCTTTTTCCCATTCACACACAAGACTCTAGACTTGGCAGTAGCAACCCAACCTGATACCTGAAAAATATAAATATGGAAAGAATGAGCTTAAAGCCCAGTGAATACAACACTACTACATCAGAATAATATAAGCAAATATTATCTGCTAACATCAATTAAACTTCATTAACATATTACAGGCATTAAAATATAGTACTCTCCTTCTAGGCCAGAGTATGGACCTTATATAATATAGTACTCTCCTTCTAGGCCAGAGTATGGACTTTATTTAAATATAGTACTCTCCTTCTTGGCCAGAGTATGAACCCTTTTTAATGTGGTACTCTTCATCCAGGCCAGAGTATAGACCTTATTTAATATAATCAAGTTATATATATATATTTATCTTCAATTCACATAAACCACTGCAATACTTTAATTAAGCATATCTAAGAATAAACTTCCAGTGAGTACACTCACCTTGGCTACTTCCTGGCTTATTTACTTATCCTTTGGTAATGTCGAAGTTGTGAACTCCTTTTTCTTACCTACACAACATTTATAATCATGTCATATATATTTTTAAAGAAAATTTAAACAATTTAATCCTCAATTCAAATATAAATCCTAGCCTTGGTATGTAATTGTAATTGTAATTTTAATGATAACCATATAGATTAATTTCAGGGCAGTAATTAAAACCATGTCAGAATTATATCACTTCATATAAATTAACCATTTAACTAAGAAAGAAAATAATGATAGAAATTTGGTTCAAGAGCACCTCAATAAGTACAGTATTGACAATTTAAATAATATAAATTTTCAATATAAAATTTAAACTACAAAATTTTCTACCTTCAGGACTGCATACACTATTTTTCTCTAACTTTCCTTATTTGTTTCCTCTTCCTTCCACTATTTCTACTTTCCTTCCTTCTCTTTATTTCTCTCTCTTTCATTCTCCTTTCTGACTTCAATAACCTATTTCTATCCATTTATTGCATGTTTGTTTTTTTTCAGATTACTCACCATATCTATATATATATATATAGATATATCACCTCAAGTCAAACTACTTAACAATTCTTTCTCTTTCAGATAATTTAGAACTTGAATTTATCAAATTAAATTAATGGCAATCTACATGAGTTATATAAAAATTCATAAATCAGACTATCCATGGAAAGTTGAAATATTAAACATCAAATATAATTTCCTTACCTTAGGTTGAATCCAACAAAGATTGTAGAGAATTTTCCTTCCTTTTCTACAAAACACCCACTTTTTGATTCTATATCTCTTCTTTTCTCACTCTCTTTCACTTTCCTTATTTCCTTTTCTGGTCCGGCTTCTCTAGTCTCGCTGTTTCTTTTCTTTTTCTACCCACATTTAATTTTTAACATACTGGTCCGGAAAGACCCCAAAACGAAAAAGGTAAAATAATGTATATATGGAACTTTTATTATGTGTGTGACATGTGTCCAAGCCTACTCATGCGCTCTTTCTTAATTTATTCCTTAAATAATTCATCCAAAGATTACTAGAAAGCTCATATATAAATACATATCTATATAAGTCCCATGTCCCATGATATGTATATATATACATGGTGCTGTCAACTATTAGTTTCAATAGTTATCCACCAAACTTGAAATGTATAAAGCTAGCTCACCAACTTGAAAGCTTCCAAAGAAAAGCTTGGAAAACATAAAATATTAAATATATATAAAAGGCATCAGCATATATTGTTAACACCATCACACTCACGCATCATATATGTATGTCAATATACGTACCCTTTTTATTTACTATAAATATATATATCTATCGATATATTTATCTGCCACTACCTCAATAATCTTTAATTGATACCATACATATGAATAGATAACAAACATATTTAAATACTTCCAGGTACCATGTACCGTGCATGTGTGAACAATTCTTATACTTGAAATTAATTGTTTATAAACAATAAACTTTCTTATTTATGTTTTCCCAACTCAATTAAATATAAATATTTAAACTGAAATAAATATTAATAAACTCATAATAATGAATAAAGAATTAAATTAGATCAGATAAAAATTCGGGATGTGACAAGAATGGGCTTGGCTAACAACCTGCTTCGCTAGAGGCTGAGCATGCTTATCAAACTTCATTGTCACTTCATCCACCTGCAGTTGACAACACAATTCGAAATCATGCTTAAACACTAAAATTGAATCAAAAAACAAAATCCTCTCATTTCATTATCCCACATTGTACAGCCGAATTTATCATTATGCAATATGTGTAAAGAAATATCCCACATTGTACAACCGAATTTATCATCAATATGAATATAGAAGGTACTAAGAAATATCACACCCACATATTACAAACTACCACATAAATTTTATAAAGCTGAACAATACATAAACACTTTGAAAGAGAAGCAGATGCGCTGTTCTTATCAAGTAACTAATTCAATAGGTGCTATCTGAAATTGATTGGGTAAGATGATGAGAAACATA